GTAATAGTGGGACATTCTCTGGGTGCTGGTACAGCATCGTTGTTATCTGTTCTCCTCAAACCATCTTATCCTGGCTTAATTTGCTTCTCCTACTCCAACCCCAGTGTCCTGAGGTAAGTCATAACATTCAGGGCTAAGTTGTTCCAAACCCAGTCAGCGGTAATCCTTGGTTAACGACAAACAGAGCATATGAGTTGTCATGGCAACGTTATACCCCGGATTGGCGCTTGGCATCATTCATGGCCATACAAATAAAGGAAATGAAGATAAATGAAATTTCTCTCCATTGTTTGTTACGACACAAAAGCTACCTGGGCCAGGTATTTAAAATGTCTCACAAGTGTTTAACACGTGAAAGATCACAACAGTCATGTACGCTATTGACCAACAGGAGGGCATTTTGTATACGCATGCGTCAATATGGGCTGTTGAAGGGCCACAGAGGCATTTTCTGTGAATTGTTTACATTCAGTACCAGCATTTGCAGGCTGTTTTCTGGGGCTGAATGACGTGTATTGGGTGCTACGTTCCACAAACATGTTCTTTAAGGTGTCGAGGTATTTCTACGATGAAAGTGAGTTTATTGTACCTTCGCTGTCGCCCTTGAGAGGACAGTCTTTCCTTTCGTAAAACAGTACATCGAAGACAAGATGGCGGTGGAATGTTCTTATCAACTAACATTTCGCGCACATTTTTTGAGCAGGAGGAAAAGGTCAGTATGATAGTTTTTCGTTAAACAATTATCCTATAGATACTTAATTCTTCTCAATAGTATAACTCCAAAATCGAACTTAATCGTTTCAGGAATACAGTGGCTAATTAAGTGTCCATTCGGCCGTGAAACTGTTTTTCACCCTTTCTCTGGCTTGTTTATCTCGAAATCTTGCCTTTCTCCCCAGATTAAGTTAACGATTAATGAAACTAAGAATACTTCCGCGAATGAATGGCGCTTTGATGAAGACTGTGAAAAATCGCCTTCTGCAGTAATTTTAGCCTTCTTCTCCGGTACGTCTTCGTTGAGAAATAAAATACACGCACTTCAACTATAAATTTAAATTAAAATAATAAAGCCAGTAAGAACTGTTTTGAAAATACGAATATTCTATCATTAAGGTATACAAAGGAAAAAAAATTGTAGCAATCGGTTTGAATTCTGATTTTTTCCACCTTATTTTGATGATACACTGTTTGTTTACATTTCAGTATGCAAATAAATATAACATTTTGGCGTTTTAAAGAAAATCTAGCCTAACTCCCCAACCCCAAAATAGCACGAAATGAAACGTTATAAATACACCTTTTAAATAAATCCTGGCTTCTGCTGCAGAAAAATCGCATTTATTCCTAAATGATACCATTTTGTGGATACTACATTTGTTGATATGCTAATTTGTGAGACATTTCATTCACGAAGGATGTTGACTGAGACCAGCTTCTCCTCTGTATTGATCCACATTCTTGTTTAATGCATCAGTTTCTGCTTGATAATTCTTCCATGATGTACAACTTACGTAAGGGGTTCATCTGGATACAGTAAAAAGCTCTCAACAGAAACATTAATAACAGACAAATTTATCCATCCATTTGTGCCATGTTTGTTGTCGTATGCAGCTCATTTGGGTCCTTTAGCAGAAGTATTTATTTTTTGAGAAAACAGCATTATTTGCACCCCTTTAACAAACTTCTTGTCTTATGTTTAAACAGGCTTTGAAGGTGAACAACATCGTCAGATTTATGGAGTGATGACCATTCTTTGTTTTAAATGGATCACTACTGTCATCAAATTTAAATTAATAAAAAGAAATCGATTGTGGAACGCAGGAGCTGTTACTCAAGAGTCGCTTCAAAATAGTAGCTTGGGAAAATCTCTGTATCTTTTAGAGTGAAAGAAAAATAAAAATGCTGTTCGTTTTTTCGGAGTATGTGCATTCGTTTTGTCTGCAACTGAGCTTATGAAATGCTCAAATGATTATGTACTATATAATCACTTGTAACTGTTGCTGTCTCAAACTCAATCCATTCTTCATTTCCTATAGAATATTTTTTTTATAAATTTTTCCGCGAAAACTTCCGAAAAACTGTAAAAACCCCATAGATTTCATGTTTTTGTGGCAAATATAAACGCGCGTCTCCGCGATCAGTTTATCATGAGACATTGCGCTAATAAATAAACCTCGCGTGGTAATTTTTGTTTCGCTTTTTGTCTTAAAGCAGCTGAACATTGCTACGATGCATTTCCTCCCTGATAAGTAAAACCACGAATTTGGAAATCAAACCATAGAAATACATTGCTTTGCAAGTGAAAATCAGACTTATACAGGAACATGTCTTTTTGGCGTTGAGTCTTGAAAGTCTTTAAAAGGCCAAGAAAACCTACTGCTGAAAAATCTACGAGTGAAAACCCGCGTAGAAAACATCCGATTTTTGTCATGGCGAATAGTTTTTGTAGGAAAGTACGGTATTCAAAGCACCAACGAAAAGGACTGTAATTTTACGCGCGAGTTTTCGATTTCCCGCCATCAGATTTGATGCGCCCACGCTATTGTCGTTCAGCGGATTCACGCATGCGCATGCAAAATGCCCTCCTGTTCTATTGACCTAGCAGTTGCAAAAAGAAAGCCCTAATTGGCTAAAGTAGTTTTAGCCTGCGAGCGCAGACATATTTCCGGCCGTCGCTTCTCTCCCCTCAAAAAGTACTTTTTCACCCGAAAAACGACGACCGGAAACGCGTCTGCCTTCACCGGCTATAGTATTTCAGGCTTGAATGGGATCCGAATCCATGAGCTATCAAGCCAACTCGGAATTGTTTACAAGTGTTCTCATCTTTGACAACGTTCAGCTTATACTCAACATCCTTCACTCATAGTTTCAGCTCATTTTTAACAGTCGTTTTCTCTATTTCAGTGCCGCAGCTACTCCGTACTGTGAAGAGTTTGTTGTGTCTGTTGTACTTGGAAAAGACGTAGTTCCTAGGTGAGCAACCTTTTTGTAGCTTATACCTTGCTCTATTTTACTGCACCTTTTGAGCTGGCGAGAGTTTAAAGCTCTAACTCGCAGCTCTTTGTTGGTCAGCTTCGTCATTTGTTTTGTCATTGCAGAGTAAAATTGACTTTAATTTTAATTAGTAATTTACAATTTCCAATAACAATCTTTGCAGAGAAATAAACTTTATTTACAATTGCAAAATGTTTTATGAGAGCCTGAGGGCCGCGTTAGGTGGGAAGTTTCTCGTTAGCCACCAAGATAGAGATATTTTTCCGAGATTTTGCCCGCCATTAACATCGTTATTTCTGAAGTAGTACTGCATTGTACCTTCTTAGCTTAATTCTTTTTATGTCCAATGCAGATGATGGAGGTGGCGGGAGGGCAAGTGTGATATACATAAATCATAAACCTCTTTACCGACTTCTCCTTTTAAACGTTTTTAACGTGTTTCGTTCGCGAGTTGCTCCGCATCATCTTAAAATTCAGAGCAAGTGATGTCACTATATCATCACATTCACTTGTGTAACCATGCCTAATTGTTATTTAAGAAAATACACAATTCTAGCTAAACAGGTTTTCTTAAAATTTCACTTCCTTGTAGGATGGGAGTTAAAAGTGGTGACGAGTTGCGCCACGATCTTGCGTACGTAATCAGTAGATGCTCAGTACCAAAGGTAACTTGTTTTCATTACATCTCTTCATCACTTTTTCATCTTTTAGTATTTTTCACTTAAGCGCTTATTAAAATGTTCCATTTTTTCGTCTTACTTTTGAAAAGATTTGACACTCAACCTCCAGGAATCAACTCTTTCCAGCTGTAGAGAGTTGAATACATGTGTCAGATCCTGATCAACCAAGAGCGTCAATGAAGTTTGACTGAAATAAGCAAGCCCGTTCAAAGCGACTTCCTTTTGCGTTCGTAAAAGGAGCTATGTCACTAGGATATTGCTATTTCAGATTAAATCTGTGCTGAAATGATTTACTCAGTACCTTCGCACATACATAAAATGATCCGCCGGAGATATGAAGAAGATATCACACATGTTTCCTGGGGGCGTTCTAACCGTCGTATATTTTTTGATGATGTTTTTGCCGGCATAGCATTAAACTTGAAAAAGTCAGCTTACTTCGTCAAGTTTCCATCCTTTCAATCCGTTGCGAAGAGACGACAGGAAACAGTTGCAGTGCCTAAATGTAGCCGTAAATAACAAAAGTGGACCATTATTTATAAATTCAATTGAGGCAAAGACAAGTTTCAGCTTTTTAAAAATATAGCCAACAGCTTAAAATAAACCCTTTTAACACTGCCTGCTTTTTTCCATTTTAAAAGCGTTTGTTAAATTGTGCTTCCACTCTAACATTTCTGTTTGTTTTTATTTGTTCACAGTACCGTGTGTTAGTGAGCGGCTGCTGGCGAGCCTTGTTCTCGTTATTCGGTCCCAGTTCTCAACCGGGTCAAGGTTGGCCTTTTTTCTCTTCCTCTCGGCAATACAGATCCACTCATCTTACATGGGAAAATAATCTTACTCAACCTCTCCTTGAAGGCATAGAAGGTATACTGAGTAACAATAAAGCTGCTGAACATAAGCTAAGATAATAGTAACATTGCTATTTTTGTAAATAAATCGAAGTTGTAATCATCTTAAGCAAGTTACTGTAACCTCTGGAACGTTATGTATAGTGAACATTTGCAATACAGAACAGCAAAAACGTTTTAATAATATAAGTAATTTTGGTGACGATGATGACGATAAATTCGATACAGGTTAATACTAATGATTAAATGAATAGGTGAAACGTTACCAAAAACAATAGTAGAGTGTTGTAGTTAGTTCTGGGACGCATAAGCTATGCTTGTGTTTTGTTTGTTTGTGTTTTTGAAGTGTTAATGCTGTGCTGAGCCAGATGCCTTCACTGCCTTCATATCCGTTTAGAGATCATTTTGGCTTACAGTAGTATAGTATAACTGGTAGTTGAACTGTCAGTTCAACTGTTGGTTTTATATATGATTTGTCAAAATGGTCTCATACCCCCATATACTATACTACTACTTACGCTTGTCTTTGTCGATTTCAATGCCATAGAGCGTTTTCACATGACGTCAAATCCGCTATATTAGGGAGCTTTTGAGCGACGTACGTCAACCGGAAGTGAGGTCTTTTATTCATTTTGGAATATATTAACGTTACCAAGTTTGTATTTCTTAGTCTCTTTCTTATAATAAAGACGTTTTGTCCAAATATTTGGGCAAAATTACCTCTCAAGAATGAAAAAAGTCCACTTCTGGTTGACGTGTGTCCCTCAAAAACGACTTTGCTTAAGTTCACTATTGGTGTCCCAAAACAATTAACCGGCGGCCGTATTGGTGTTCGCAGCCAATCCCGTGGGAGCTGAACCTTTCCTAAGGTGAAAACATTAACTTTCGTTTGTTCTAATAAAGTGGCATAACTGGTGGCTCTTTGAGTGAAAACGCTCTATAAAGTCGCTTTAAGTACAAAAATTTGCTGTCACTTTGTCAATGGTTTGAACACAAAATATAATTTGGTCGTATGATCGAAATTTTCTAGATGAGACGTTAGGCCTGACGGGTGGCGAGGCCTCTCACGGCTACGTGGGTGAAAATGAGCGGGAACCAGTACCAGTATCCTTGCCCCCTGTCTCCGCTGAGCAGCTCTTTCCAGCTGGCAAGATTTTACAAATGGAGGAGAGGCCTTCTTGCAGGTAAGACTTCTGCTAATGTTTTGACGCGGAAAGCATTTCCCTGATACATACTTGTTCAAAGCAAAAATTAGGATTTTTTTAAAGTTGATTTTTGGAGTGGCGGAAGGAATGGTGCTTGTCGCCAAGAAAGTGGTTATCTCATTTCCCTGGGGCCTCCTGAACAAACACAGACGTGTTGCTCTAAGGACGATAGGCGCAAATTCATTACAACTCATATGTTCTGTTAACATTTAACCTGGGAGCTTCGAACATTTCGGTCCAGGTCTTTTTGTGATAACCAAGAGCAATGCTGACTCACCAAGTAATAGATAAAAAAGACTTAATAATTTGAGATTTTCTTTGCTTCAAAGACTCGAAGCAACGCAGTATGACATCATGTGGGCGGATAAAGAGAATTACGCAAAGATAATCATCCACCCCAGCATGATTAGCGACCACATGCCTGACCGTGTTATGAGGGCCTTGGAAAGAGTTTCACTCCTCATACGGGAACATCACAACGTCCAAGAAGTGTAGTTGGACAAGCGTTGCGGTGACTAGAAACGAAGAAACTAGCGGTACTTTTGCCTTTATAGTGATGGAGCTGTGCAGCCGAGGTTTGGTTAAAAACATAAAAGTGGGACTGCCTCCCTTGAAATTTATTAAGTGTAAAAAGATGGCTTTAGTAACCTATGACTGGGATGAAAATGGTATGCAACCAAAAATAGGATCACGCCCAGCAAAAGTTTAAAATAATGATACCTTCAACTTGAAGAATGGTACTACAAGAGTATGGCATTTTAGGCATCCTACTGATGAACAGTTGCAACTTTTAGATATATGCTGGAACAGTAATTATTTATAGTCTTTCACCATCGAAGTAGAAAAAATGGGCTACATTCAACTGTCACCAATAAAGTAAGGACATGTAATCGCTTTCCTGTCGTCAAACCATCGTGACATCATTAATAGCGTGCACAACGTCTTGGTTTTCATTGCACGCCAAGTCTCAAGGACATCTGTCTTGGAGCAAGATATGATGAAAATTATAGCTAAATTCAGATAGCCTATTGGAAAATAGCCAACTCATAAAGTTTTTAAGTGTTTCCACCAGGAGATAAGGGCAAGCGTGACATGCACGAACGTGAGATTATTGCGTACTGTTATACGTGTCTCTGCCAAATGAGCTTATAGGATGTCTGTGATGGTACATGGAGAATTTCAAAATACTGTTTCACAAAATGAACGATATATATGAAGAAAAAAGAACCATCAACAAGCTCATGGAGGCCTCCTCGTTTGGTGGTAATTCATTTCCTGCATAATTAAGGATAAAATTATGTTTTATCAATTGATTGATAACCCTTATACGTTCGAGTCATCATTTTCCTTTGAGGAAAGTGCTTTTACTGAATTGGCTAAATAAAATAAATTGAAGATTATATTTTTAGGCAACTATTAAATAGTGCTTACACAGTGTTGTAATAAATTTCAGGCGAGATTTATTATAGGTTAAATTATTTTGAAAACGGGTTCTCGCCTTTGTTATACATGTATTATGAATTTTAAATAAAAAATTGTAGCCACAAATATTGTTACTAGGTTCTTGTAAAATCGACTTCCTGAAAGCGATATTCACACTCTTATACTGCAGATCACTCTTCTTCTGGCCCCTAGTAACGCTCGACGGTGTCCAGCCAACATTGCTCTAGGGATTATTAATGGGTGGGGTGGGGGGTGTCTAATCGAGCGAGACGACCATTTAGGCCAGATTATATTGAAGTACATAAATGATAAGTCATAAAGTCATAAATATGATACACAGGATGAGTTCTACATGAGACTTCAAGACGTACTAGATGGTAGGAATGTACATGATAAGCCGTCGGTTGCCACTGGAGGCATGAATACAAAAGATGGGGATCAAAATTAGGACTGTGAAAGGGTTATGGGCGAACACCGACTGAAGGAACGGAACGGTAATGACATAAATGAGGTAGTAATAACAGGAATGTTGTTCCCACACAAAACCACCCACAAAGCAAGGTGGATTTCTGCGGACAGGAAGAGCAAAAATCAGAAAGATTATGTGTTGATTGGTAAGCGGTTCAGAAACTCAGTGAAAGATACAAGAGTTTACAGATCTGCAGGCATCTGAAGTGTCCATTATGCGGCATGTATAGCATGATCAAAATGTGGTCGCACAGATCACAAGTGAAGACGAAAAACGGGATAATCCGGTATGATACGTCCAAGTTAAGGGGTGAAGACTTGTTCAGGACGTTTAACATCACATGCAGAGATAGTTGCCACACAATAGAGGAGGAGAAGGAGCCAGTAGTTGGAGGAGAAGGTTGAACATAGAGTTATCAAAGATCAAAAACCTGAAAGAGTGCAGGTATCGGAGAGGGTATCACCCTACTGTCTATTCTTGGGAAGATAGTCGGGAAAATTTTTATCGATAAAGCATAAAAGGGATGGGCAAAAGGCTGAGGAAGGAGCTGGAGAAGAGGAAGAGGAACAACAGACTAGGTCTTCATCTTGATGATTAATAGAACAGGTGAATGAGTGGCAAGCTACAGCTGTACCCTTAATAGAGTTCGAAAAGGCTTTCGATTGATCCATCGTTAAAGTTTGTGAGTAATTATGCGGAAATACAAAATCTTCTGAGATAATAGTGCAATTAGTAAAATTGTTCTGTGAGGGCTTTTGCATTGCTCTTTTAGACAAGGAAGAAGTCAGTCTCAGTGGTTTACAATACAATACAATACAATAACTTTATTTAAAGAGGGAAGCGCAATAACCTGTTACAGTTTTCTAACCTACGGCCCTTAAAAGACATTGACATTTGACATTAAGACCGTTGTCAAGCGAGGCTGTAAAGAAGTTTTGCTCCTGACTAATGAGGAGCACAGTTGGTCAAGGCGACAATGACGTAAAGGGGAAGTTCACTTCACCCTTACTCTCCTCTACTAAACATCAGCTCCCGGTTGTTCAATAGTTGGATAGGGCTATCCACCGAATAAATCACTATCCAGCAGGTAAGTATGAGGAAAACTAATTGCATTATTGTCTGAATGGAGATTTATTCGATGGATAGTGCTATCCACCTTTTGAACGACTGGGGCCAGAGTCAGGTCAAGACAATGAAACTAAATGAGGAAGGCAGATTGGTTGGACTCAAAACCACTTTAAAAAGAGTTTCGTGCAGAGGATAGATACAAAGATACAGGAAAAGATCACGATCAAAGGAAAGGATGTTGCAGATGTCGACGATTTCACTTATTTGGAATCTAAAGTGTATCGAGAGAGGGCTGGCATGAAGAATCTGAGGAACAGATTGTGGCAAGCGAGGGGTGCAGTGATGCACAGACGTAAGAGAATCAGGAGCGCCAATAACCTCTCGAGGAAAAGTAAGCTGAGGATGTCTGAGTCTTTTGTGTCAATGTCCCAAATCGACGTCCATTGAAGGTACGCGTTGTCTCGATTATCCTTATCAATATCTGAATTCGTGATTCTGATATTTGAACATGGCTTTTTTATTTCACTTGCAATTGTGCCTTTTTCAAAAGATATTCACAAGTTACAGCGTACGAGAAACTGTGCTGTTTTAAGGACACTGGAATATGTGCCATATGGGAGGGTTATGGATCAGACGAGGAAAGAGGCAATCAACAAATGCAGCCTAGTCCCTAGGCGTTCTCTCTTGCCCCGTTGTCCGCGCGAAGTCTGGGGAAGAGCGGGCGAGAGTTCTCGGCGTTTATCTCTCGGTGACGTCACAGCTCACGGTATAGTCCAGGATTGACCGAACCGAGAACGCCTAGGGACTAGGCTGCAACAAATGTAATCTGGCTTTAAAATACAAGGATTTAAAGTTTTTGCTTTTCAGGGTGGCGATGGTATGCCTTATCGGACAAGTGTGAACCAGGTGTAGCCTCCCCCGGAGACATTCTTAGGCGTGCGTCACGCGTTCCTTCCCCTTCGTGGGAAAGGAACGCGTCGGGGAAGAGGGAGGGGGGGGGGGGGTATATTGGGGGATAAAGGGATATGAACCCAAAGCTGATCCAAAACTTGTTACTAGGAGTAGAGGCCTAGGTAACAATTACTTGGAAGGGTTTTTTCCACCGTGTCCCAAGTTCTGTTGATCTCTATTGTTACCTGGCAGTTAACATGCACCTTCCACACATCCACAAACGGTAGTTATAGATCAACAACCATAATTGCCGTGTTTTTTTCTTGATAAATAGATCCTAGTTTGCCGGTGATAGGTATAGATAATGTAGTCGTTAAAATGTGGAACGAGGCTTTTTTTCCATGTACATTCAATAAGTGAATGTGTCCCAACTTTAACCATGCAGTTAAGGTCATAGCAAATTACCACAAGGTCCATAGAAAATACCTTTTTTTTCCAAATCATCAAGTAACTTGTTAGTGCTGGGCTTCATGCGGCCCAGTTGGGTGTCCTGTGCAATTATAAGTAGTTGGGCGTGCGCAGAAGTCATGGCAGTGTTCGAGTGATTACCACGAAAGCGACCGAGGTCAATTCTCAGTTCTCTCAAGATTTTTTTTAGCTGTTCCTTTCTTTGGGTTTATAGCTTGTGTTCGCTAAGTTCTAACAATTTTACTGTCAAAAAAAATTTGCTTTTCTTCGACATACAATCATTAATTGGTGCGTTTCGATCCGTCTATTGTCACAGTTAAACAGTCGTCTATTGTTAGTCAAATTGTCAGTTCTCCAGTCGTTCTCTCGTTGTTAGTTTGCTTGATCTCGTCAATAAGTCTTTTGTACAATAGACGGATCGAAACGCACCAATTACCGATTACCAGTCTTCATAGCCAATAAAATCACGGCTTAACTGACAGACGACCAATAACATCGCAACGTAATTGGCCAATCAGACTAATAACCAGAGTATAATACCATCAACTGACGTGATACAAGTCACTTAGACTCTGAAGATGACTACCGCACAGGTTGTCGAAACGTCAGTCACTGTCAACAACAACAGTCCTATTGTTGGTTTTCACACGACGTCACTAAAATTCAAACTACAAAACTATTAATCCTACGGACATTTTACTTTCATGGTGTATAAGAGCAACTGAAAACTAATTTTCAAACAAATTTTCGCTTCAAAAGGTTTCTTGGTTTTGTAATAGAGTACCCTTGAATTTCTAAGCTTTTGCGTGATGGAGCATTTACATGACGGCCGAGAGAGCTGTCAGTTAGGTTAAAAAGTGACTTTTTTCGAGGAATTTTGCTATCTTAACAGTTCAAGTATTAGAAAAAGTATTACTTTAATGTTTATGAGTTCCTCTAGGAGTAAATTCACGCTTTTGTAGCAAAACTCGGTAACAGATGTTTCTGTTGGTTTCCGTCCGCCATGTTGGAGCTCATCCGGATGAGCTCCAGCATGGCGTCTCCATACAAAGCTCTATAAATTTTGGTAAAACATTTCCTCGGATATCGCGTACACGAATTATTCCTTCGACCCAAATCTTGGCGAGGGTCTTTGTATATTTACCTCCTATCATTTCCCTGATTCTGGACTTTAAATATCGAATGGTTTTGATTTTTATTTCGATCTATTTTGAATGGCGTGACACTGAAAACCAGCAATTCAGGACCACGTTCACCCGGACGATCAAACTCAACCTACTTTTGAAATGACTCCCGGGTTCAAAACTTTCACAGTTATTGGTAACAATCTCCGCATATATCCTACAAAACTGGGTCGTCTTAAAGATTGTTATAAATTAATGTGCGGCAAGTTAAATATCTTTAAAAGAAAACGAGCTACTGAACATAAAAATGAAAAAAGTGCAATAAAACTATGAACTCATAATTATTTTCCCATCGTTAATTTACGACCGCCGTTAATTATATACCTTTTGCATATTTTAAACGTTTCAAGCAAAACTGCCTTCCAATTAAAATGTTTTACCACATCATTAACAAACTCCTTTTTTTGATCAGTATGAATTTCCCAAGAAGTGCGTACGTGTGCGGAAGTGTGGTTGCTATAGCGATGTGGTGAGGCTTACGCTAGCAGTATCCAGGGACAATGATAATTAACTTAGGTTGTCAAATCAGTAGCAAAATTCATTTTGTTTTTACGGCGCTGTGGTGGAAATTAAAGGGAGATGTGTCATTTTGATTTCTCTAGAAAGCTTTTGTTGCAATCTACAATATTAAGGCTAAAATTAGTATAGTATCCTGACTTTTTGTATTGAAACAAACTTGTTTAACAATGACAGAAGCGGGTATTTTCTGGTTAGTAATTAACATTTGAAAGAAAAGCCTCTTATACCAAAGATACGATGATTATGGCGGTTAATATCGAAAAAAGAAAAAGAATTTAAAAGGGACTATAAAATGAAAAAAAAAATGAGAGAAATAAAATTATGAATGGCGAGATTCTCAATTTACACTTTCTACTCAATTTATTCACAGATTTTAATAGTTGCCGTTTTCATTTTTCCCAAAATCAAAAGGTAAAAACTATTTCTTATCTTTTCTTTTTTTTTTAGTTTATGTTTTTTATATATAACCCCATCGCTTTTTAGCTGTCTTGATCCGTTGTTCATAAATACTCTGGGAATTACATTTCCCTTTTGAAGTCCCGAGTAAACAACAGCTACACCAGATTCAATTGAAGATACCGGATCTTAAAATGTGTGATTTTTTTTCCATTTTCCTTGTTTTATATTTCGAGTTTCGTTTTATTCTGCGTTTTTCAAAAATGTTCACAAACTTAGATTAGTGAGAATTATTACTTAAATTGTGCTTTTGGGGGAGGATTGCGACCCTGTCAGTTAGGAACGTGAACGATGAGCGACACCTGAAACAGGGGACACTGAATGCAGCCAATGAGCGATCGTTTTTTGCAGGACATGTTGACGGTTAACACAAGCTTGTACCCAGATAGGTGGCTCATTTTATGCAAATTCATTAAATTTATATTGTTATTCTTTTTATTGCAAACATAGAAACGTCAAGATGTCAGCGAGACAGCTGGTAGAATTGATTGTGTTGTTCTATTAGAGACGGAAGACCCTCGGATACTTAGCGCGATTTTTCCTACGCAAAATTATCGCGGGAATTTTTACAGCCATGTTTTGTGGCCCTTCACGATAAATCTACCATTTTATGCTTTCAAAGGACCGGACATGGCAAATGATATTCGTGTCCAACATATGTTGTGGTCATTTTTATTAACGGTAAGATTAATCATAGTCTATTCGTGTTAAAGAAAAGCGGAAAAATCTCTAGAAAAACCTTTTTATCCTCCTACCTCCCTATCCTAATATCTCGAAAAAATGTCCTTTTTCTTTATTTCCAATAGTCCACTGCCCTTCTTCTTGGAAGCCAGGAAGTGAATGCCGGTGAGTTTTTAGTGTTGATATTTTTATCTCGCCTTTGCAAATTACCAGCTCATACAATTCATTTCTTGCGGTCATATTAAGAGTTGTCTCCCTTCCCTATCCCCGGCCAATAACATAACGTAAAAAAAATTTCAGGATTAAGCTTCCTTTCGTGCATCTCGGGCCGTTAATTCCCTTCATACAACAAAGCTCTAAGAGCATTTAAAGAAAAGAAGTTGCGATGCGACTTATGAATCGTTGTTAGTTTTTATTTACTCAGCCGGCCTTCACATAGTCCTTTTCTGCTTGCAAAAAATACTACATCGATATCGGCTACAGATTTGATATCACAAAATAGTAATCTTTTCTTCTCCACACAAAATTGGATTTCCTGAAATTGCATTTGTTAGACGAAACAATAATAAGTTCTCACGCTTCTGTCGAAATTAAAGTCGGTTGAATTTTTAGCCAGTTTGCCGCTTTTTATTATTATCCTGCAGTAATTAACGATTTCGCGCACAGTGAAGGTACACTGGTATCATTGTCCCTTCGTAATCCCAGAATAGTTTGTTGTTTGGACTATTCATTTTTGTGTTTTAAATTAACTCTACATTTATCTAACTGGGCTGAATAAGAACCGCTTCTTGTAGAATTGGTAACGGTTTTTTTTCCCAGTTGTCTCTCGCTCCATGTTAATCTTCTTTTATTTGCGTCCTTTGGACTGCGGGTCTTTTTTCCTTGTCGATGTCAGTCAAATTTTGTCTGTCGCATCCCAGATTGTAGACATTTGTCATTTTGAGCGATATAAACGCAAATGGTGATGAATTTTCGGTTGAAATACAGTCCTCGGTCATTCCGAAACACTTCTTAGCTTAATACTGTCAGCTACGCAATAAGCAGGAGTATCTGTAGCTGTGTAACCACATAGTCACATAACTACTTGTTAAACATGCACCCTCAAGACCTCATTGTATTAACGTGTAACTTATATATTTCTGGTTGGTGACTCGACTAACGGGAAATATCAAATAACAGAAAAAAGGTTGAAAAGAGTTTCGCGTTGCAGAGAACAGCCATAGCGTCCGGGGGTACAGCTCTAAAGGGAGCGAGTTTGATAATTATAATACTAGATTATAATCCTGCAGTTACCCCGTTATTTTATTGATTTTTATTCCATTTTTAACAGCTTTTTCCCCACAGTGAGTCTAACAAATTAAAACAAAACCCGACAATAACCGCAGCGTTTTAGTTGGCCCCTGTAGGAAACTTGAAAATTTCTTATTGTCCTCACAGAGAATTCATTCTTCTTTTGTTCATCCTCAGTAAGTTATTTCTAATTATCTATAATTTTTGATTCTCATCTTAGAAATACCGTTTGTTTAGGTCACGAATTTATAATTCGCATGTTTAAGATATACTTCGTTATTTTCTCTTCTCCGTAATTCGACAACCTGGAACACTTTCCTCCGGTCGCATTGAGAAATGACTTGGTAAACTATCAACGAAATGGGCTTCAGAACGTTAAGAAGTTTTACCGTGCGTGTCGTGCTAGCTGCTGACCTAATGAAAAGCAAAATTTTCAGTAAAAAAAAGTGTTAAAAGACATTTTATTTCTGAAGAGACTGCTGTAGACTCGACGTGTATTGCAGTCACCTGGTATTTCTGGCGATGCAATGTGAATTCTACTCATAATTTGCTTCGGCCTCATAAAATTAAGACTGTCGTTTTAAATTAGTACTGCTTCAATCTTGTTCTTTGATCAATAGTTTTTATTACAAAGTTACATCTTACGGATAAAATCGTCTTGTGCCTCGTTGAACTTTTAAGTACGTGAACGTGCGAACTTCATGCGATTCAAGAAAACAATTAGTCGGAAATCTTGAGATAAGCAGTTAACTAGTATATTTTTTATTAAAATGTGCCTAAAGGCCATGGTATTGTTAGCGTTAAAGCTCGGCAATATCCTAAACGATTTCCTGGCACTATTCAAAACAATTCCCATCTTTTCTGCTTCTGTAAACTGAGATATCAAGATTACAAAACGTCGCTATCTCTAAATTCTGTGACGCAATACCTGCCAAGATCCTGTCCGTTTTTGTTTTACTTTTTGCGATGATTTCGCCATATGCATTAAAATGTAAATGAATTGATTAACGCAACGATCTGCCGCCTTTGGCATTAGAAGGCTGCATACAATTAGAATATAGTTCTTTCCCCATTAATTTGTAGATTATCTGAAACATTACAGTAGGCCATAGGGGTAGAAGTTGTTGTTGTGGTCGACGTTTTCGTTGTTGTTGTTTTTTTACAACTGAAAAATGTTACTAATGAGGACAACTTGAGAATGCTTTAACGATCCAAACGCCGTAGAAATAATAGAAAATTAGTCCCCCGACGAAGTAACTGTGAAATTGCGGCGCACTTTCTCTGTTCCTGATCACCTAAACATTCCGGGTGTTAAATTGCTAGCCCCTGACGGTAAACTACATCAAGTTGAAATGGCGTTCACTTCAACGTTAACTAAGCTTATTTTAAGGCGACGCCGCGAGGCGCTATTGCTGCGCTTTTTAGTTTTTCAGATCAGTCGAAATTATACAAATTGCCTTAAGAAATACGTGCTAAAGTAGTTGAAGATTACTTTAAGTTTCTGCGTTTTTTCTAGATATGTTTACTTTCTTTAAAGATCTGTGACAGTTCTTTTTTACTGAAGACGTGCCGGACAAGATTAAACAGATTGATGAAGTCATACTTGTTGACTTGGCTGGATCATTACAACAGACATTTAGATTTATTTGACAAAGGAAAAAGCTCTAGCTTAAATTGAATGTTGTGGACAGCCTGTCGAATGAAGTAATTTCGAAGGAATATTTGATTAGAAAAAAAAAAAGATATAGACTACCAGGCGATCATAAGTTTCTTTGTGGCACGGCTTTTATTTAGCATTTACGAAACCGTTTTCGTGGCTGTCAGTCTCGGAGTTGGTTAGTTTAACCAACCTTGCGACTAACATTTTATAGTTCTTTTCCCTTTTCCCCGCAACTTTCACGGGGTTTCGTACAACACTACCAGTGTGATCGTTCTATTTACTCAACAATGTTTTATATCAACGTTTCAGGAAAGTGTTACTATTAAGAGAAAGGGAAAGAGATGAAATGAAGTTTTAGTAGTTATCAAGAGAAAAATATCTTCTGTTGTAGCTACCACCACCATTAAACTTCTTCGTGTGTTTAATGCATTTCACTTTAAAAAAAATGCCTAAAAAAGTATTGCTGTTGAATTGGGCAATATTTCCATGGCCAACATTTTCCTGTTCGTGTCCAGTAGGAAACAGGGGATGGAACAGAGAAGTAATTAACTCTGGGGTGAGAATTTAAGTGACCCATAAACCACACTGTGCTTTAGCCCTTGGGAAGGGAAATAGCGGACCATACGAGGTAAAGAAAAACTCTTTTGACCTCGAATTTCCACCACAACCGGATCGAGTCTTGAGAATAGGGATGCTCTTCCAACCTGTTAGAGCTTTTAGGAGTAGGTGGGTTGGGGCGGAAGAGAGACCATAGGGATCCGCAGCACTTATTTGTGTTTTGTATTTTGTATTCTATTTTTTCTCCAGTTTAGTAAAGCATTACATCAATTAATTATAACTCTATAAATTAATGTTACTAAACAGCAGAGGGGCACCCCTAGGATAACTAATATTGTGCTCCTTACTGCAGCTGTTTTATTATGATATAAGGAAAAAAAATACTTCTGTCAGTTAAAGGAAGAAGATTACGATTCAAAGTCATCTTCTTCTGGTTTTTTCCTTACTTAATTTTTCTACTCAACTCACAGAGTTTTCGAAAAAGCGGCCATCCTGTAACACCAAGGTTGTTAAATTCTAAGACAACTGTAGTTGTTAGTTGTCGCGGTAACTTTTAGCATGTCGAGCCGAAAAACGACAGGAACTATTTTTTACTCAACGGATTATTTGTCGCCTCTCAGGAGGAACCTCGTTTCCAGGGTTCTCTCATACTTTTCCGGAACTAGGCTGTCTTAGGGGTTAAAATGAATTGGCGCCATGCCCATAAAGCTAGGGCATCCCCGGCCGTTATTTTTGTGTTGATGTGCCCCGGGGCTTCGCGTCCCTGCAACACCTGCCATATTGTCTCCCGATTAGTTTTGTTTTTCCTCACACCTCAGGCTATATGCTTTCTGGTAAAAAGCTAAAACACACATCAAGGCTATTTTAGGTATTGAACCTGTTTCCTGTTTTCTGTTGCAACGTATAGTAAGGATAGCCATGAATTGAAATTTGAAAGTGTTAGTGCAAGTGTTAGTGCTATGCTGCAGAAAAATAATATAAAACTATTACCGAAGGGGAGGTGAATAGTTTGAGATATACAGAGGAACGAAGCATCCGGGTATATATCTAGCGCTGTTCACAGACCCTAAGGGGAATGTTTTACTATTTACTAAATCAGTTGGATAAAACTGGGAAAAAAGTATTCTTTTGTAAAGTAAAAACGTCATTGAGAAGGAACTTTGTTTACAATTTACACACATTTTGAGGATTTTGTCAAGTGCATTTCACAATTTTGTTGCAAGTTCAGCATGAAAATATTTTTCTACCGGCCTACCAGTGAAAACCGACAAGCCAAAGTTCGTCGCTTTCTTGGTATTTGTTTGTACGACTGCTTCATTTATAGCACAAATTTCGTCTTCCGAAAATGTCTCGAAACGAGACGCCATCTTGGCTCCTGTCGCAAAACAGTGAATAGCCAAGAATATTCCCAGTTACGGGAGCCAATCAAAACGCGCGAAAATTGCTACTCACTGGTTTGGTAAATACTAATAGTGGTTAGAGCTCCTGAATGAAATTTGTTTGGTGACTTCTTCATAACACTACAGTGGCATTTTGTTTATGGGTAAAGACACGAAGTAGTGACTTCAGCAGAGAATTGACCTAAAACAGCAATATTCCCTTGACATAACTCCTTTAACAATTGGTATAGGTAATAGCAGGATTTGTAGTGATATTTGGCATAAATACCACGAGTGATATTTCGAAATTGTTATACGTAATTTCACAAGCCGTTAGTAGAGTGAAATTTGAGACAATTTTGAAATATCACGAGTGGTATTTATGCCAAATATCACGTACAAATTATGCTATTATTTGTTTATACTACTACCCTCAAAAGGTCTGTAATTTCACATGTAGGTGTTTCAAATTAAGCTCAAATACCACTGCTCTAAGCCAATCAAATTGCAGAAATTGCTCATGTAGTAGTATGTTTTAAACTTCTCTTAATTGCAGGCTGGTTCCTGGGCTGCTTTAAAGAAAAGCCAGAAGAAAGGGTATTCAACATCTCTGCCGGGAACTATCGTATCACTGATACTTCCGCTCAAGAATGCACTTCCGCCTGTGATCATTTGAACCAAACATACGCAGCAACAGAAGGAGATCTGTGCTTCTGTGCTAGTGGTTCGTACGACAAATACGGTCAAGCCTCGAATGAAAGCCTGTGCAACTTGAACTGCTCAGATGGTGTGTCATGTAACAATATATCATACATCCGGGTTTATAATACCCAAGGCTCTGTTGGCGGGCTCAATATAGACGCTCCACAAATTGGCTGGCTGTGGCAAGAATTAAACTTTTCAGCTTCGCTTGAAGAAGGTATAGAAACGTTTGCAGGACACCACATTTGACAGATATTATATACGATACGAGTGAGAAAAAAGAGGCACTTTTCAGGGGCGGATCCAGGATTTTTTTTAGGGGGGGGTGCACTCGTCTCTTGCTCTACTTCAACACCAATAAAACACATAGTTTTTTTTTTTTGCAGAATCCCAGTTGTATTAGAAAACCGCAGGTCATCTCAGGGGGAAGGGGGGAGGGGTGCGCACCCCCTGCACCCTCCCCCTAGATCCTTCCCTGCTTTTTGACTTCGAGACATAAAATGAAGTTCTTGCTTCGGAGGAATAGTAGTCCGGGGCCATGTGTCGGAAAAATCATTCTCGTGGGCATTTTATGAACATTTTAGTTTCTTTACGGAAACTTATAGTATAAATTGTATTAAATCGACAAAACGTTGTCTGCAATTTTTTGAAAGCTATGTAGGCCTGTTTTATGCAAATTAGATATGACGTCATTTTACAGCTGAGGACTGACAAGAAAATGTCTTTAGTATGATTCGGAACTTGTTGAATTGAATAAAATGCATTTAAAATTGCTGTGAAATCACATTTTGACTGTTTCAAGGACTAAGCGAATAGAACGGATGTTAAAAGGATAATAACACCAGGTTTTATTTTAGCAACACTTGTTCTTTACTTGGTCAATAGCTTTACTCCAGTTATTTACTACATATCTTAAATGAATCCCCATTGCATTTAAGAGTCTAATTCTGGACCTTTTTAAAGTTTTCTTTTAATTTTTTGGTCCATTCTTCGACTCCAGATAATAAATAATTATAATCCTGTCTGAATCTAGTAAGACAAAGCATGCGTTTTGATGGTCTTCCTGTGGTTTACAACTCAACACCTTATTTGGTTATGCAGGTTATTCTTCCTTTCTTGTTTGGTATTACTGCGAATTATCTGGAAATCAATGCATTGTTATTATTTGGCTTTGAAATTATCCAGAAATGTCTAGTCTAACTTATAATTCTTTTTTGGTCTTTAATGAAGTGAGCCCATTTCTAAGGGTGCTGTCTCGAGTTGGGCGTCTGTGTTTCCAATTTCCCGAGAAGATATGAAGTTTTATTCATTTATTATTATCACCTTGCCACAATAAAACAATACAATCATTAAAATAAATTAGGTGTTTACTTTTTTCAGGGCCTAGAGAATATTTATACAATTATGTTCGCTTGTTGCTTGAAACGCGTTTATTTGTGAATAAGAATTTCCATGAATGACGGCTGCAAAGAATGGCTGCATGACAAGAAATAGACCAGATCACGGGTTTTGGAAACCTAGCAATAAGCGTAATTAGAGAGGCTACCACTCGTGGGCATTTTTAAAACATTTTTTATTCTTCACACACTCTTTATTGTAATGACAACAGATGATTCCAGAAATACAAAACAGAAGTGTGTTATATTTTCGCAAGGAGAAGACTAATGTTTTTCGAGCATGGAGATTCCTTCGAAAGAAAGGCGAGTTGAGGAGAAACCTGACTTTGGTAAATGCATTATTTGCCAGGAAGAAACTAGGGAGTCACTTGTTCAGAGTGTGAGTGAAGAAGCTTATGCAAGTGTTTTGCACTTCGCGTATTCTAGAACTGCGTACGGTGAAAATGAGTTTGCTACCATCAGTAGATTACTGGACGGGGTATCGGCAGAAGAATTAAGACAGAATAATGCTTCTTTCCACGCAAGATGCAGGAAACGACTTGTAAATTCTGCTATGCTGAAACGTGCTGAAGCGAGATTCGAGAAAGCAGCTTCGTCACAAAATACTTCAATCCTTTCACGTCTTCCTGGAAGGCCGTCTTTTGCTTCGCAGACAGGCTCTTCTACACCCGTCGTTTTCCATGGTTTAACAGAACAAACTTCAAAGCGGATTCTACGTTCATCCAAAGCTACCTTCAATAAGAAGTGATGTTTCTTTTGTCAGTCACACGACGATAAGCAGGACGTTCATGTAATACAAACTGAGAACAGGAGAAAGCAACTTTCAGAGTTCGTTGAAAACTTCCACAATGACTTGTACAAAGTTTATTTAACCAGCACAATAGAACCAAAAGATGCTTTGCCGAAAGATGTGCATTATCATCGTGCCTGCTGGATGAAACACGAGATACGCGCCATGACGCCTGAGGATAAGGCTAGAGCTGACGCCAAAGATTCTGAGCAAGAAAACAAAGTTGCTGCTGATATAGAATTCCTGCATCTCATCCAAGAGCTTCTAAAAAAAGGAAAGATACTGAGTCTGGAAGACGCTCAAAAGGTGTACACGAATATCTTACAAGATCATCTGTACAACTGGTTTCCTAGTAGAAAATCTGTTAGGCAGCTGTTAGCAGAGAATGTTGATGGTATCGAGTTCGTAAGTGCATATCGACGAAACGAGTCCGATCGCTTTTTCCTATCTGCTGCTAAGATCGCCGCCATAGAGAAAGCCGTTAAACAGTCATCTCACATTAATAGCGAGCTTGAAGTCCTTTATGACTGTTCAAAGATAATTCGCAAAGAAATTCAGGAGGCAAATACTTGGCACTTTAAAGGTACGCTCGACATAGATGCACAAGATAATGTCCCTACCAAGCTGTTTACATTACTCAAGTGGATACTTTCGGGTGTGGTTTCTGAACTGAAAACGGAGCAGCGAGCGGAAGATGTCAACAGAAAGTCAGTTCTCCTTGCGCAGCAGATTATGTACCAAACCAAGACTGATAGGCAAGTCAGATACGTGCCTCAATTAGATGAAGAAGGGAATACATTTCTTCACCAGCGCGAGTACCCATTGCAGGTTGGGGTTGGCCTCCTTGCTCACCAGCAAATGAGAAGTAAATTAGTAATTGATGTTCTACATGAGTTGGGCGTTTCAGTTAATTATGCGAGGATTCTGCGCGTAGAAACTCAGCTTGCGCAGGCTGTTCTGAGCAACTCCAGTGAGCACAACATCTTTAAACCTCCGAAACTCTGTAAGGGCCAGTTTATTTTTTTTAGTGTTGACAATTCCGATTTCTCAGAAGACACCCCCGACGGAAAGAACATACTTCATGCAACCGCGATGGTTGTGTTCCAGCGAAAACGTACTAAAGATCCTGAAACTATACTGGAAATTGATGCGACTATGAGGACCAAGTCCCTTCCACAAGAGTCAATACCTGACACAGAAATATTACAGTGTTATATCCCTAAGAATGCGCAACCAAAGTGCTCCGGCTACACATTAGATGCTACACCATCTAGTGATGTCACCAAGAAAGCGGAGCAAAATGACTTGGCGTGGTCGGTAGGCAACTCAATCATCAGGTCTCGGTTGGAGCAAGTCAAAATCCCCACGTGGGCTCCATACAATTCTCAAGTGTTGTCTTTGACCCATCAGCTGACCACCGTTTCCATGATGCCTCTTCTAGCGGCTCCGGCGCATGAGTGAAGCACGATGCTCACAGTACTAATGCAGGCACAGAAGATCACGGCTGTGGTTATGGGAGAAAACCACAAGACTGTCATTACCTTTGACCTCCAACTATATGAGAAGGCTGTGAAACTCCAGATGCACAAGGCCCCAGACCTAGACCACCTGGTTTTTCGAATTGGCGAGATGCACACGATAATGGCTTCTTTGTGCGCTCTTGGGGCATCAATCGATGGCAGTGGCTTTGACGAGGGATGGATAGAGGCGGGGCTGTATGGTTCAATCACAATGCGACAGATTCTTGAAGAAAATCATATGAAGCGCGCTCTCACAGCTCACAGTATAACGTACTCTGCCTTGAGCGATTTGCATATGGAGGCATTTTGGAAGAGCGAAAGTGATAAAAGTAATGCCGAGCACAAGACTGTATACGATAGTGTAATACAAGCATGCGTTGCAATGAACACCATCTGCAAGGAAGGTCGATACAGTGAGATAGGGACGAAACACAAAGACCTTGTAACGGCGATGGAAACCGACGACCTTCAAGAGAGGCTATTGAGATTTGATGAGGTCATGGAGTGTCAGTGTCCATTATTCAAGTTTGCCCGGGACTACATGAAGTTTGTGATGTGTATCCTGATGTTCATACGCGCATCAAGAGAGGGAGACTGGAACCTTCACCTTGAATCTCTCAAGGCTTTGGCAAAGTATTTCTTTGCTCACGACAGGCTGAACTATGCGCGAATGGTGCCACTATATCTAGCGCAGATGCACTGGTTAAAGATCGATGATCCCGATATTCACCATGAATTCATCCAAGGAAACTTTTGTGTAAACAAAAATGAGATCCCTTTCTGTGCAATTGGACCGGACCACGCCATAGAACACGTCAACAAGTTGATGAAGATTCGGGGAGGGCTGAAAGGTCTAACACAGCAACCAGCGGCCATGGCAAGATGGTTCCTTGTGGCGCCAGAACTAAGTGGACTTGCGACGCAAGCTGAGGACATGTTGGGGGTACAAAGAGCTTCATCACCGCATCATCACGATTTAAGCGATGCGATAACAAATCGCTATAATGAAAATGTACAGAAGCTGAAGGATGTTCTCAAAGTCAGTGACCCTTTCGCGACAGAGGAACGTCATCTGGTGAACATCATCACGAAAGCGGTAATGCCAGATGACATCAAGGAGGGAGTCCTAACACGAGATAAGATCGGCCAAGCGTTGTTTGAGACATTTGCTCAAGAGAGAATCGTCGAGGCCAGGATTAAGTGTTTGGAGCCCCATGAAAAAGGCAAATCTGAAGTCATGGAAGTCTGCTTCGCAAAAAAACAAAAACAAGACAACTTGTGGCGTCGCACCCTTAAAGGATGATAGAGCTCTCTTCGCATGCTTCTTAGTCGTCAGTCTCTCAAGGCCTGATCTTGACATAAAGGAAACTATTAGTACCTTTGAGTTAGCCGAGTATCCAAGGGCACTCTTCTTCTCTGATGGCAGTTCGCGACACTGCGCTACCAAGAGCAAGCTGATGAACATCCTAGAAAGCCTTTTACCGGCCCAACAGCAACCACAAACGTCTACAGTACAACCTCACTCTGCAGTTCCCTCCAGTAGGCAAGTGGTCATTATTGATGCCATAGCCGTCGTTCAGGCAATGGGAAAGCCACCGTGGGTTAGAAATGGGCGTGACCTAGCAAGCCATTTTACAGAAGTCATTGATTCTAAGTCTGAAGGTGCCACCGAGGTGCATGTATTTGACCGTTACGATATCCCAAACTCCTTAAAAGAAGGAACGCGTCAGAAACGAACGGGCACAAGCAGAGCAGTGGTGTACAAGATTACTGTGGATGCGGTTATTGACAAAATCACGATGAAGGATCTTTTGAGCTGCAGCCAGAATAAGGAGACATTGGCTATCTTCCTTGCAGCACAACTTATCGAGTGCAAGAAAGACTCGCAGACGACGTATGTAGTAACCTCTAAAGCTGACTGTATGGCTTCTAATAGCCTACCGATTCAGCATTTAAGGAGTGAGCAGGAGGAAGCAGATACTCGTATGCTCCTACATGCTCTAGACGCCACACAGAGAGGAGAAACGTCCATAACCATTCATAGTCCAGATACAGACGTACTCGTTCTGACGCTCTGGGTTTACAAGAGACTTTGTCTAGACACTACAGTCATTGTTGGAACAGGAGGAAAACGAAGAAGTATTCCACTAGGCCCACTCTACGAGGCGGTAGGAGAAGAACTTGTGAAGGCTTTACCTGGCTTTCACGCTTTTTCAGGATGTGATCAGACAGGCACTATCAGTGGAAAAAGCAAAGTGTCTTGTTGGAATACACTAAAGAAAGCTGAACGATCAGTACTCGATGCATTTTCCAGCCTGGGAACCACCGACACCATCTCAGATGATATAGACATGACGCTAGAGCGCTTTGTCTGCCAGTTGTACATGCCATCGACACAGCTAAGAACCATAGGAGAGGTCCGATGGCTGCTCTTTAGCAAGAAACAACACGTAGATGAACAGCTGCCCCCTACTAAAGCGGCTCTACACCAGATGACAAGACGTGCTAATCTCGTTGCATTGGTTTGGAAGTCTTGCGACAACCCGAATCCCAGCATTCCTAGCCCGATATTACACGGATGGCAACAAGATGGGGATAGACTGCACCCGGTTCCAACCACACTCCCACCTGCACCTAAGGCCGTACTGCAGTTGATCAAGTGTGGATGCAAAGGAATCTGCGTCACAATGAACTGTACGTGCAGGAAGCACAACCTAAAATGCACTGATATGTGTGGTTCATGCGAAGTGAAATGTACCAACAGGAGCGGTAACACTGATACAGTTGAGCATATAACAGGGGATATTAGTGACGACGAGGACCTTCATATATAGGCCCATCTGCTAGGTTGGAACTCAGACCATGATATTTAAGTACTATTGGACAAGGAAATGCTTTGCTTAATGCTAAATCATTTATGCTTTGTAATTAAGCATTCCTTAACGGAACATTAATATTTGTACAGCAATGACACTCGACTTTTGTTATAATTCTAAAACTGTGGAAAAGGGATTGCAGAGACTTTACATGATAGAACAGACTTAAAAGCGAACATTTTCACAGTTTTGTGCATTATGGGAGCATTTTGGGACATGTGTAACAAAGCCCGACTCGAGTACCCGGTGTTTTGCGGGTCAAAAATCTAATTTGCATAAATTAATCTTAAATGACTTTGAAAAAATTGCAGACAACTTTTTTACGATTCAACACCTCTTAAACTATAGATTTCTTCAAAGAAACTAAAATGTTCATGAAATGCCCACGGGATTACACATGGCCCCGGACTATAGGCCAGTTTCCAGGTTTCGAATTATGGAAATTCATACTTGGCTTAGAGGCCGAGGGGCATAACACAAGAAATTGCATTGAGATTCAGGGATTAAAAATTTATGTGTGCAAAGTAATGTCATGGATTAGAGGAAAACAAGACGCACCCTCTTGACATATTAACATTTTAACATTAAGCTCGGACTTCAGCATACAAAGCGCCACTGGCAGCCACAATCAGTTTGTTTATGAGCTTACTGCAACCCACCCACACCACCTGGGAAACTTTCCCTACTCTTTTCGAACAGTATTGTGGGTTCTTTTACGTCCCCTTCGACTTTGACCAATAAAAGAAGGATAAAGGAGACAATGCCAACGGCTTAATGTCACCACCCAATCACGCGATCATCTGAGACAGGGTATCAAATCACAGTCAGCATAATCTCACCAGTTTTTAAAAGACCCCGGTTGTTGGTCTGGCCGGGGTTTGAACCCATGACCTCCCGCTCGGCAGACCGATGCTCTCCCAACCGAGCTGACTAGTTTGTTTGTTTTATACCACAAATCCTTTAATAGTGGCAGAACCAGGATTGGCTTGCGATTAGTCAGAAAACAGAAAATAAATCCAGATTTAAAGAGGAGCTTAGTCCCTGTCATAAAAATCACCTTCCGAGGGGGAAGCAGCCATTAGCAATTAAAGAGATGAGTGAGCGCCTATGTTGTGAACTTGCAAAGCTCAAGGCAAATGCTGGATATACAGGAAAAACAGTACCGCCGTATTAATGATTGTTGGTTTGTTGTCTTATACTAGTCATAGGAGATAAATACTTAACAATATTAGGAAAAACTGTAGGGCGTCCGAGATCGTTTCCACGAAGGTGTCCTTGTTCTTGTCCGTGTAATGAAGACTGAGTTAATACGGGAGTTAAAACGGTGGCCGTACACTAGACCGCTTGTGAGATCGTCCGTTATGATTTTAACTTGGACTTTGGTTGTTTTGAAAAGTCATTTTGTTGATTTTCACTGAATTGTTCACTTACAGGAGATGTCAACGTTTCATATTCTTTCGACTTTGGTGATGAAACGTACCTTCTGAGCACATGCCCTAACGTCACGCACACCTACACAAGGACGGGCTACTTCCTCGTGAAAGCGTCCGCCAGGAACAACGTCTCTGGCCCGGTCATGACTTCCGTTTGGATCTTCATTCATAGTTCCACCGGACTTGTGAGCTTAGACTATCCGAAAAATATAGTAGAAGCGGGGAATGAGACTGAGATTACCGTAACTGTCAGCCAGGGTACTTGGATGAAGGCTGAAGTGGTGACATTCCCAAGAAGCAAAGTCAGAAAATTCAACATATCTGGTGAGAGCCTTGATCTAGCCTTGAACAACCATTTTCAAAAGCGCGCATGCGTTGTAGCGCTTTTTTATACATCAATGCGTAGCACGCAATTTCATGTCAATGAACAGGGTTCATGAACGTGGATTTTTAATCTTAAAACTCTTAGCTAGAACTTAACAATTCCTTCATTTAAGTTGTCTTAGGTGGGCCGTGGGTAATGGGACACGCAAATCAGGAGAAAATGAGTTTGGGTGATGTAATTTAGTTCGGTTTAAACATACATTTAAACTCCTAAACTCCTACTTGACAGCTCTTACACAGTAATTAATAAGGAGTTATAATAACTCCCCTAGTGGTGTTAATTTAACTCCTTACAGTGCAATTATATTGAGGAGTTAAAATAACCTCAAAAAAGAAGTTATCCTTTACCTAAATTTTTTACTTCACTTTCAGAGTTAAAGTAACTCCAAAAAGAATAAAAACAACCCATGTAAGGAGTACGTAAATAACCCCATTTTCTAAATTATTTGAACTCCAGACTGGAAGTTAAAAGAACTCTTTGTCAGGAGTAAAAATGACCCCAAATTTGGAGTTAAATTTGGAGTTAAAGTAACCCAATAAAAGGGGTTATCCTGTACCTAAAATTTTTACTCCAGTTTTGGAGTTATAATAACTCCCTTAAAATTACTGTGTATAGGAAGTCCTTTAAAGTTTTAAGTTGGAAATACTGGAGTTCGGGGACAGGGAAAAGTAGCTGGAGAAAAACCTCTCAAAGTAAGGAGTAGAATCCAAGCAAGAAAAAAACACAGCACTAATATGGTGCTGCCGCGGCTCGTCCCTTGGAAACCCGGGTAACATTGTTTTAATTCGAATGCTCTCAGCATTGCAACACCCCTCCTGACCAAATAAAAGTAATCTCCACTCCAGTCTATGATTCGCTTCTCGTAAGTGATCTATTCTTTTGCTTTCAGACGCCATAGTACAAGATGTAGGCTCGTCAGCAACATATGGAAATAAGAGCGTTTCTTCAGATGAGGGCGCTTACATAATTCCCTCGGCCATGATCAGAACAGATGGCTACATTTTGGCTTGGGAATACCTTGCATCAAAAGTTGGACCTGTCCGCATACAGGTGAGAAGCACGAAATATCCGATTGCCGAGACAAAAGTAATAATTATCTTGGTTGAGATTCCTCTAAGATGGTATATAGTGGGTTTAGGCGAAAGCAGCAAAAAGCTACTGACGCTGTTAGAGATTGTCTATTCTTTGCGTGTTGGGCTGTCGTACCGAGATTTTCAAATCAGTATCGAAAAGAATTTCGCGAATACGTTATCCATTAGTTGGTGATTGGAATTGGTTAGAAATTATGTCGCCATTTTCTCAACTATGGAATTAAAAGCAGCCAAAACCACCTATACTGATTTGAGAATTAAGAGGGGATATCACCAACATGGAATTGAATTTGGGGTGGGAATAACTATCGTGAATTGGCAAATCGCTGACAAGGGAAATAACTAGTAATCTAGTAATGCTTATTTGGTTAATTGTGGTAAGAGAGATTGACATATTTTGTCCTAATTACGCAAAGATACTGGGCCACTTCGATTCATCTGTAAATGGCATCGTTTACATTGGTACAATCGAGTCTCTTGGTATTTTAACTGGCTTTCGGCACTATATTACTCGCGCTCTGATCACTTTTTGACGCTTAGACCGTTGTTTGCACCAAAGGAGATTTTTCCAGATTCACAAATTCAGTTGAGGAGGCGTGTGTTGCCGAGCGGTTAACACCAGGTTATCCGCCCTGGTTAACCACTCAAACTCTGGATCTAGAGGTCCGGGGTTCAAGCCTCGCCTGTCGCGTTGTTTCCTTAGAGAAGGAACTTTACGCCACTTTGTCTCTCTTCACCTAGGTGTATAAATGGGTACCGGTGACATACTGCTAGGGGTTAACCCCGCGATGGACTAGCATCTCGTCCAGGAGGGAGTTGTAATACTCCTAGGCACGCTTCATGCTGCGGAAACCGTTATAAGCTTCGGTCGTTTGGGTCTTTGGCTCGTGTGCGCCTTTACCTTACCTTTTTACAGATTCAGTAACATTTAGGATTTTAGGGTATTCGGATTTGAAGGTGTGTGTGCACATCAGTTCATCAGAGAACATTCACACATGAACAGGCACAAAGTATTCAGTCACTTCAATTTATGGGTTCAAAATCTAGAAAAGGTACTTTGTTTAAGAGGCAATTTATTAAGCACGCAGGTACTAATTGATCATCATGAGGGCACTGTTTTTACCTCTCATACTTGTAGACGGGACCGCCATAAATTTCCACTTAGTCATCCAAGCCACGTCTAGTACCTTCAATTTATCAGTCAGGCCCAGGGAATCGAACCCATGACCTCCCTGCTCTGAATCCTACTTTAAACACACAATGAAAGTGTGACGTTATTTTTATATTAGAAAGATTTAGAGTCGTGGTTATGGCAAACGGCAAACGTGAGATTCAAGTTGACAATTTCTCAAAGTAAAATATAAGCTCATAAAAACAGTCCAAAGCAATTCTTATAGATGAAAATAACGTGAAGCTGAAAGGGAAAACTTGGTCACCTGGCACTAATTACGTTTGCTGTTTGCCGTTTGCTGTAAAGGTGATTCTGAATCGCTCTGTTCAGGCATGTGCGTGTAAACCGCAAAACAAATCCGGTACCAAAACTTTTCGGGCTCGTCACGAGCTCCGGAAAAATCTCCTTCCTCAAGAGTAAACCCAGCCTCGTCCTCAGACCAGTTCGTGCTATGCGAGTAAGCGGAAAAGGCTTAGAACGGAGTGCGAATTGTCCCAACAAGTTTGAAAGATGGCGTCACATCCGCTATCCCAAATCGCCGGGGACGACTCGGAACGAAGCTTGAGTAATCCTGTCCTAAAAGAGGATAATTACATTCTCCATCCCATTCTCTTTATTCTCTTTAGGTTTATCGTCCCAGCTGCTCTTCAAGAAATGATCAGTTTTGCCCTAAAAATCAAACCTGCATACCAAAGTCAGAGACGTGTGTCAACACCAGTCACTTCACTTGTCCAAATCAAAGTCTTTGTGTTGGAGCCGAGGGCTGTCTGTCCAACTGCCAAATGGATAAAATTTCATTTCCTTCAGGACAGTCTCCTTTTGTGAACTATACTATCATTGCAGGTAGGTTAACGTGTTTTAACCCACTACGCATATGGGTGGCTAATAGCGGAGCTCCACGCGCCCCCGAAGCGTGCACGAGCGGAGCCGCATAGATAGGAAAATTTGGTTATCTATCCATCCGAGAAATGATTTTGGTAGTCACGTGACCATACGTCCGTCCCGTCCAACTGTCCCATTGCACCACAAGGCAACCAATGTGAAATCTCACACTTTCTAACTAGTGTGGGAGCCTGCAACCTGATGTTGTCCATGTTGTGGTCAATTAATCGTTGTCAAAAGAGGGCATCCGCTGATAAATATCACATGACCGTATCGCGGGCTCAAGTGTCGTCCTATCGAGGGTATATGATTTTTGAAGTTATTTGCCCACAGGTTACTAGTTTTGTACTGATCACAGGCTCAACTCCAACTGGATTTCTTTGCAGTGGTTATATTAATTACGTTCCATATTAATTTAACTTTGATTTTTTAATTCTTAGAATCTCTGATAAACATCTCCAAAGACGGGAAGAATATCTTGGCTCTATCAGCCGAAAAAGCCATTCAAGTGCAGACAGGTGATGTCATAGGTTGGGTTGCCGATACGAGTTCTGGCGCCCTTGCGTTCGAGTCAACGATCAACGATCCGTCCTTCTTTTATCCGAAAGCAAGCTTCAACATCGTTATAGGTGAAACTTTGTCTGCTTCAGGAAGTGTCGACCGGCGCAATATCAAGCATGTACTGCGGGCTCACGTATCACAGCCTTCCCAGGCGATAGTTAACATTAATTTTGCTGAAGCAGGAGTTCACAACGTCACGGCTGTGGTCTTTAACAAGGCTGAAAGTGTACTACAAACTTGTGAAATATCTGTGCAGGTATGAAGAACTTTTAAGTCCCTATTTTAGGGTTCACAACAACAATAAGTACTTTGGAACTTGGGCGGTTGATTACACTCACTAGTGTTAAAATTATTATTCTCAGATCTTGAGACCAACTAATCTTGAACCTAGACCTCCCACGACCTATGGAAAGGCAGATCTCACTTTTCAGCGAAAAACAGAGTGGGATCTGGGTACAAGATTAGAGAGGAATTTCAGACAAAAAGTATTTTCCTTCAACGTTCTCTCCCTGGTAATCCCTCTTCCTGTAAGATTTAGCAGTAGCATTTAGTAACTTTCTAATAAATACACTAGCTGTAGCAGTTTCAGCCATTGAATTGGCATAATGCACCAATTCAATCACTACTGGAATGATCTGAGCAATGATCGGCAATTCCAAATCCTTATAATCGCTTGTGTGATATAGGATAGACATTCTCTATTTTCTTTCCCTACTTGCAGCCTACTGTCGTCTCGTACGGGCATGAAATGTCGCAAATATGACTTATTAGTAAAATCCAACTAGTGGTCTATTATCAATGCTGCGTTCTGATAGGTTGAGCTACTACCAGGCTATATGTTATAGCAGCCAGTGGTAGAGAAAAGCGCGGGCTTTTTGGCGGCAAAAAAGGATTAAAGTACTAGCTAAAATTTTTTTATTCTCGATATTTTTTACCTTTTAGTTGGATTTTACTAAACAATTATTCCTCTCGCCCTCATGGCCTCAGGCTCAGAGCCCATTCGAGCTCCAGGAATAATTGTTAAATATTTATGATTTATTATGCGCCACGTTTGGCAAAACCTCAAGATCACCGGGAAAGACAAGATACAAAAAGAGGATGGTTTTTCTTGCTTTTCATGGCCATGAGCGACTGAAGGCCTCAAATTTCACCCTGGATCATGAGAGGCATCCCTACCCTGACTCCGAAGGTCCGTTTTCGAAATATATCAAGGATAAAATAAACCTGGTAGAAAAATTAAAAAAAAACTCTGGCACCAAGGTTAAGGCATCCCACACTTAGTTTGCAGTTGTTTTAATAATTAACGTATTCCGGTTAATTGTAGAGTATGGGCAGGAGTGTGGGCATTTTGAGGGGGTTAACTTTAGGTCCAGGGATCCTTTTTTCGTTTTGTTGGAAGCCGTAGGGATTTTTGGTGGTTTTAATTGTTGCGTCTTTAACATGTCCGTCACTCTAACTCTAAATTATCCCCCCTCCTCCTAGAGGTCAGTGAGAAAGGCGAAAACAAAGGGCTTAAAGAACTCAAAGATTTACATTCTTGCATTTTTTCTTTATTTTTTAGGAACGAATACAAAATCTTTTTATATTGAGACCATTTAGGAACCAAAGCTACGCTACAGGGGATAAAGTTGAATTACAGAGTACGCAGGACAAGGGAAGCAACATAAATTACTTGTGGTCGGTAAACGGCAGAACACAACAAGAAAACACACAAAGCATTGAAGTGACCTTCAATCGCACTGGTAAGAGCCAGCAGCATAAAATCCTGCTAGCCATGAGTCTTGGGGAAGGTTAAAGTTCAACTGAAGCGGGAGAGACTTGTAGAAATCATGATCAGAAAGGGTCCAGGATTTTGTGACAAAATTTGCTCTATCCGAATGCAAAAAGGGATTTTTACTGTTCTCTGTCGGAGTGAAGCGTTTAAACGTTTGAGTCTACGCAATAATTTCTATTGGTATCGTACATTTTTGGGATATATCTTTCTAGTTGTTGAGCCTGTTCATGTAATACTATTAAATGTAAAGGCATAGTAACGACTGTTTGTGTGTGCAAGAGTTTGTTCTTTTTGTGATATAAACAAAAAGACCGTGACCCCTGAGCCACAGACCACGAAATGCAGACGCCCTTGCTTATATATAAACTGCTCCCTTAAATTGTTGTTTTTAAAGATCAAAAATGTTTATCATCGAGTATTGACTTGATACTTAAAGATCCATGGTATTACTAAGTAAATTATCTATGGTAAGAAGACTAAATTAAGTCCAGTTGGGTCTGGTACTCTTAAATCACCAGTGTTGTTATTATCCTGACTTGAATATCCAAAGGAAAAAGTTATATTTAACAGGATCACCTGAAAGGAAAAAATACGAACAAAGAGAGCTTTCATGCATAAACCTGCTACAATTCGTGACATTAAAACTTGGGTCAGTTGAATTACTAACGTTGTCATGTTGCGCTCGACTTCCTTTAACCCCTCCTTTTCAATGTTGGCCTCGAAACTGGACAACTCCACCAAAAAGCCATTACTATACAACATTGGCCAATTGGCCAATTGGAAGCAGTCTCGTCCCCAGGGCTTTTCCCTTAAAAAATGGGTGGGGCGCCCCACCCATTTTTTAAGGGAAAAGCCCTGGGGACGAGGTTGAATTGGAAGAGGAAAAGTGAGGTCCTAGACAGTGGCGGATCTAGGGAAGGGGCCCGGGGGGCCCGCCCCTCACCCCTTATTTTTAGACCAAACTGAGGCCCGAAGGGCAGACAAAATTTTGGGGGAGATTGGGCTCCCCCACCCCTTATCTAAGGGTCTGGATGACCAGCCCCCCCCTCCCTTATCTCAAGGTCTGGACCCGGCACTGCCAATGCGGTGTGACCCAAGTTAGGTGTTCCTGATTGTAGCTTTTTGTAGCCAAAATCGATTGGTGGCCTTTCACTCATGAAACAGAGCCATTTTTTAGATTTTAACTATGTTCAAATTGACATGGATCTTTTTTAGGAATCTATCCCATTTCTGTCCGCGCTAGCAATAACATCAGTTCAGCGGAAGCCTCTTCGATGATAAGTGTGCTCGACCCAGTCTCAATGGATTTGCTGGAGGAACCACAAGACGAGGTTGACGTGGGCGCCCAATGGAATGTTTCTCTCAGAGTGAACGGAACAAATGTTACCGTTAGCGTGTCCTTCGGTGACCAGTCACCCTTAAATACAACGTTTTTGGAGTCTTCTCAAGAGGTCTCTTTCCATCATAAGTGAGTGCTTTTCTATTAGCCATTTTATACCTATTTAAAATAAAAGTTAGCAGGTTAAGAGGAGTGGAAATTTTAAAACCAGTTAAGCCACCGTTTGTGGTATATTTACCACTAAATAAAGATCTTATCACTGCATTCAGGACGTTGATTTTCTCCCTTCGTAAGGGTTAATGTCCACTATATCGCATAATTTTTACGTGCGTAAATAAAATATAGGCAACGTGTGAAAGGTCGCGCGTAAACGTAAAGGCTGCAACTCGCTCAGCTTTGACGTTTACGCGAGACACTTTAAACATTGCCTCTATTATATTTTCGCGTGTAAAATTTACGTGCACACGTACGTAAAAATTACGCGACAGTGGAAATCCACCTTAAAGGAGCTGTGTCACGAAACTCAGCCAAATTAGGAAATTACAAAGTGCCCGTTAAATTAAGAGAAATATAAAAATAACCGTTTAAAAATTTAAAGGAAGGTTAAAATAACATAACAGAAACAACAGATGCCACGGATGGGCAAAACTGAAGAAGATTGAAACGGATGGAAATTAGGGTTTTTGAAAAGTGTTCAGCCCAACATTTTTTCAAAGTTGATCCCTGCTGCTTGCAACTTCAAAAATAATGCTCAGGAGACATATTTGTTTGTCTCGGATCTCTGATTTTGTCATTTACATGTAATTTCTTTGCTTACTTTAAGTTCCATAGCGATTGAAGGCGAGTAATTTGCAAAATAAAACAAAATGAACTGGACTGCCGTGGGGCAAAGCAGCATTTTCTAACTTCTCAAAGGGCAGAAGATCAACACTTTCGCTCAGTTTTTATCACAGAAACCAGTAGTGAAGAGTTATGTAGCTGATGAATTTTTTATTTCTTTCTCTATACAGATACACTGAACGTGGTCCAAAACATGTCAATATCAAAGCAGTAAACAACATTTCAGCGAAACCGGAAGAGAAAGAAATAAAGGTGAAAGTGAAAGGAGAATGTATCCAGGTCGTTGTAGAAGTTAGTCCGGAGCGAACTGTTGATGGTGTGTTGAAAATATCTACTGGACAGGACTTCACAATTCATGTCTCTACAACCCCCAAGCAACGCGTAAATTACACGTTTTCTTTTAACAAAGATTCGACACCAGACACAAGAGTCACAAACGAGGGTGACACAACAGTCTCTCACAATTATAACAGTGAAACAATCTATAACATAACTTTAAACGGAAGCCCCCTCCTCTGCGAAGATCCATTAGTTCCTGTTATCGCCAAAAAGTGCAGTCCACCGTCGTTTCTTTTTCCAGATAGATATACCCGAAGTGATCCTAAAGTCATCACCAAAGCAAGTCCTGTGGATTTCCTTAAAGTCAAGGAACCGGGCAGAAACTCGGATCAGTGCCCTAATCAAGAACCACCACAATACAGGTGGAATATTTCGCTAGAGTCAAGTGCTGGTAGTTATAACTCAGAGTTAGTCTCTACCGACGAGTCTTCTCTTGATATACCGGCGCAAACATTGAAAATCGGGAACTACTCAATCACTCTGAATGTATCTGTTGAAAACAACAGTTATTTCTTTCAGACGTACGTCCGCGTGGTAAGCTCCGCTCTTATTGCTGATATCAAAGGTGGTAGCTATCTCGAAGTTGATTCTCAATCTCTGCCAAACCATGAATTAACACTAGATGCATCGGGATCGAAAGATCCGGACAGCAGCGAGTCAGAATTGAAATTCACATGGGAATGCAAGTTTGAAGGCAACTTAACTGAGGAAACAGAAAATGAAACTTGCTTGTCTACAAACTTTGTGAAACTAAATGAAACTTCCAATAAGGTCACGTACAGGCTCCGTGAAAATGTAACATACACTTTCAAGGTAACTGTGCGCAGTGAAGGGAGATCGACCTCAGCCTCAGCCTCAGCCACACAAGCCGTGAGGATGCTACCTGATATTCCATCTCTAACTATAAGGTAGGTTGGCCCTTTTGACTTGAATTTGTAAATTCCACAAAATTAAAAGGTTTCATAGCTTGTTAAGCGCGGCAGGATTAGCGTGCGAACAGGTTCCCAAGAGGAGCGGTGCGAAAAAGAAAATCGACGAACGTAGCGAGCCGAGCGTGGTCTGGTCGTGGTCTCCCCCAGGCCACACTCGCCGATTTTCTTTTTCGCCCCGCTTCACTTGGTAGCTTGTTCACAGGCTACGGCAAGATCAGCTCAGTCGGTAGAGCGAGAGGTCGTGGGTTCGATTCTCGGAACCGGACTAATACCCGCTTCCTTTGCCCTCCAAATTGCTAGACCTTCACGTGGCTCGGATGACGTCGTAAAATGGCGGTCCCGCCTCCAGTAGTAGGAGACGTAAAAACAGTGTCCTCAATTAATACTTTCGTGCTAAGTACAGTGACACTCAAATATAGTGCGTTTTCATTTTTTTTTAGTAGTCTAGGTAGAGAGCGAAATGAATCTGCGCGAGTGAAAACTGCCAGCCACAAAGAAGGCGACATGCGTGCAAGGGAATCAAACTCAACTAGTTCCTATATTCGCAAGTTTTTTTGTTCTCCAACTGCTTCAGTGAAAATGGTAAATTTGTGCGCGCTTGCCAAAGGTTATTTAGACCATGCAACAGTCAAGATTTTCTTCTTCTGTCACTTTGTTCAGTGCTGCAATTAGTAATGCAAGGATTTTGTGAATTTTGTTAAGGTTTGTCTCGCTGTAAAACTATAAAGTTGCCAACCTTATCCTGTCATATGAAATCATAAGGGTTGCAAGCATGCGTATACAAGTTTGCAAATAACTATTATTGAATGAGGTTTTTTATCATATCGGGACAAGGGTGTGGTAAGTGTTGTCAGGCGAGGCCCAACGTGCTAGACTGATAATACTCACCGAGACTGGTAATGTTTTATTATAGAATCGTTTGCAGAAAATAACGACAAGTACGTCGTTTCGCTAACACAGCTTATTATTTTCCATAAAGAATAGACATTGCTCTTGGAAATTATACATTGCCATTAATTGTAGGCTCACAGCCGATGAGAACAAGAACATTACAGAATAGTTCTTGATGATTTTAGACCAGTTATTTTTTATTAAATTTAATTACAAGGAAACCGGAAACGTTAAATTAACAAACGTTTTATTCGCAACTGTCTCAGGTTTAGTTGCCCGAACTGTAGGGACAAAATAAACCCGCACGAGAGAGTGACATTTCTGGGAGAATGCACGAATTGTAATGGTTCTGAGAAACAACTAGCAACGCAAACCTGGAAATTACTCGACGAGAATCGTACAGAAGTCCAGCTGTTGGAAAATGACACAGATTCCAACCTTGGATTGAACAGCATAAACTTGGTCTTGAAAGACAGAATACTGAACGAAGACTCGGAATACATTGCACGCCTAGAAGGCAGGCGAGGAGACGGGCAATCTGCTGCTGTTGAATATCGATTTCGAACGACATCGGCTCCTCGTTCAGGAACATGCGTGGTAACGTAAGTATATATAAAGAGTATAACTTTCATCTGGATGCGTTTTAACCTGGGAGAAAAGTCCTTGGTGGGTAAAAGGGGAATAATGGGTTCTCTTGTCGATCGAGGGGCTGGGGAAGGCGGCAGGAACCTCAGCCTGGGAGTGGAGTTTTCAGGGCTTCAAAATGTATCTAAAAATAAACGCTGTTATGGGCTCTAGCTTAAGTGTGCCTTTTCTTGTTAATACTTTGGAGCCCCGCTATACAGCCACCTTGAGCCGATCGAGGGACTGGGGAAGGCGGCAGGAGCCTTAGCCTCGGAGTGGAGCTTATACTGCTCAAAAAGTAGCTAGAAATATACGCCGTTATGGGCTCCTGCTTAAGAGTGCCTTTTCTTGTTAACAAATGGAGCCCGCCACACAGCCACCTCGAGCCGATCGAGGGACTGGGGAAGAGGGCAGGAACCTCAGCCTCGGAGTGGAGCTTATACTGCTCCAAAAGTAGCTAGAAATAAACTCCGTTATGGGCTCCCGCTGGAGTGTGCCTTTTCTTGTTGATACTGTGCGGATCCCCGCCATTAGGCCACCTCGTCTACAAAGCTATCTTTCTCTACGAAAACCTCGCAGATTTGTCCTATTTTTCTTATAATAAAACTTCATCATTCGGAAGAAGTATCCATCACGAGACCCCAAGGCTTTTTCTGCCTTTCCTTTAACCAAACGAAGACGACCTCACCGTTTTAGGCCACATAGAAATGTGTTTTATTGGAACAATTCGGTACATTTTAACAAAGTGACCTTTTATGCCCCTTGCTCGCTTGCCAATAAACCATGTGCTGTACAATGTGCGTTGCTAGGGGTGAGCTCGGTTAGCTGGGAGAACTGAACGGACACCATTATTTGCCGTAATTTGGCCACTCAGTTAAGAGGCCGTTTATTGATAATACCAATCAAATTACACAAAAACCGGAAATAAAAATCTCATCCCAGCAAAGGTGAGGGCAAACACGCCAAAGCCCTGATCGACCCCTGGAGACAGGACCGCCCCAATAGTAGAGGTATTGAGCAACAAACATAATGAGGTCGAGGGCGAAAAGGAAGCCGCGACCGATAGCAATTAATAGAGGGTGAACTAAACATTGTTTTGTTTTTATGTTTTTATTTTTTTCAGGCCACAGTCGGGATTAGGATTAGAAACCCTCTTCGAAATGAAATGTAGCAACTGGGTCACAAGTGATAGCAGTGACAGTCCAATCTCGTACAAGTTTTTCTACGGACAAAAACAGACGGATCTGGCAAAAATTAACACCCTTTCTACCGATGCACAAGCAAATCTATTGTGGTACTATGGTGAGAAATCCACTTCCTCGAGCAGCTTTCCTCTTGGGAATGAAGATAATGGCTTTAAGCTCGCTCTTTCAGTTCTTATTTGCAACAAGTACAAATGCTGTGCAGAACGTCGCCTTAACGCCACGGTAAAGTGAAACTAAACCTTAATCATTTTCATTTTTCTATCTTATTGGTACTTAATTTCGCGAGTCTTTGGTTTCGCGTTTTTCGCGAATGGAAACATGTCGCGAAATTTAATGCCCTTCTTTCATATTTTCCATTTATATCGCGAAAAGAAAACCCAGCGAAATATTGTCTCACCAAAATCGCGAAATTGAGTACCAATGAGGTATTTAAGGCCCGTTTCAAACGTCGTGCTACTGCCGTGCAGAACTAAATTGATCGAATTAAATTCGACTTAACACGGCCATAGCGCGACGTTTGAAACCAAGTCGAGCTACTGCCGTGTAGCACGGCAAGGCAGCGCGACGTTTGAAACCAAGTCGTGCTACTGCCGTGTCGAACTCAATTCGTAAATTATAAATACATTAGAATACATTTAAAAATTTCCTAAATCGTTTCTTTATTTTTGTGTTTTGTTTTCGGCAACAGCCGTTCTATTCGACTGAATTAAATTCGGCGTCTGAAACCAAAGGTTAGGGAGTGCGGGCGACAGCGATCGACGGTCAAAATGCTTTTGCTCTATCGCTGTGCTTTGTTTAAGTTTCACGTGATAGATGGTCAAAACGTGCGTGGTCCGATAACGAGCGATAGAAGGACCAAACGCGCGTGAACAGATTGTGTTCTCTGCATTCCACTCATTCTTAGTGGAAGTCCAAGCGAAGCTGGCTACATACTTGGCGAGCATGCGTAATAGCAACCTAGAGAATACAGTCAACTCCCTTTATAGCGGACACTGTAGGGACCTTAAGTTAGTGTCCTCTGTAGCGAGAGTCCGTAATAGAGGGAGTTTATTTCCGTCAAATGTCTGTAATTTATTTTTGCCGGAATTTATCTGCTGTCCGTATTATCGGGGTGTCCATTATAGCGAGGTGTCTGCGAGGCGAGAGTTGACTGTATAGGACTACAGGCTCCTCTTGTCGCCCGAAACTACGAGAAGGGGTGGGGGATTGTCTTAGTAACTGTGAATAGGTAAGCATGGCGAGAACATACTCCCTATTTATCACCTATGCCTGGCAAAAGACGTTATTGCAAATATTTAATGTGTATAACACTTATAGCCATTTTGTTTAAGGTGAAACCCAAGGCGACCAAAGATTACCAAAAGCTCAGGGAAAATATCATTAAAGAATTAGATAAAGCAAGCCCTGATGATGTCCCACGCGTCGTTATTTCTGCTGCATCAAGTTTAAACTTTGACAATAAAACCGACAGCAAAAGCGAACAGGAGCGAAAAGAGGTAACGAAAAGAATCCAGTACTGACTTATTGACACTCTTCTAAACAAATATGTTTTATAAAAATGTCGCGGTTGTAATTACGAACTTCTCAAGAATATTTTAAAAATATAACCGAGGCTGAGATTTTGAAAGGATGATTTTGTGCGTTGAGACTCTCTAAATACAATACAGTAATTATATGTTTTTAACTACATTGTTCTCCAAACGGCAAAAAAACTAGCCAACGAAACAACTCAGACTGTAGCTGACTGTACTAACTGTAACTGATGCATTCTAAAACGGAAATGTCAAAAGCTGTAATTTAACAATAATACAAGAATATTTTCAGCCTAAGATCGGCAGAAAAATAAGAATATTCAGCCTGGGCCGAAAAACAACATTCTTTTTATTTTTTAAAACGAACGATGAAGCACAACTAATGTGACGGGACTAGAACATGACTTATTTACTTCTTTGTTGCATCGTCCAAACAGTTCTTTATTTTCCAAACTTGTTTTTCAGATCCGCTCAAAATTGGTCGATAGCCTTGCGACGTCATTTGACTTACAAGACAACGAACAAGCACAGGTTGCGATGAGTGCTTTGATAACAGTGAGTCAGAAGAAGACAGAGCTGACGCCACAGACACAAGTATGAATTTGGTCTTCCTTTGCTCCCCCGGCATCAATCTTAATAGGGAGTTTAAACAAGGACGTTTTTGAGCGACGCATGTCAACCGGAAATTGACTTTTTTTGGCAGTGATTTTGAACAAATTCTTGGGCAAATTGTCTCTTTAACAGTAAAGACACTTAGCAACACAAATTTGGTAGCGTCAGGATATTTTAAAAGAGAAAGAGGCTCACTTCCGGATGACGTGCGTTACTAAATTACTAAATTATTTTGAATGAATAATAAAGCAATTATTGAATTCGGCTTTCGTAGGATATGAAGAATAATGCAGACCTCGGAAGCTGTTTTCAACCTCGGCCTTCGACCTCAGTGGGTAACACCCTCCGCGATCTGCAAAATTCTTCATATCCTACTCAGTCTCATTCAATAATTGCTAATTATGTTTTTTCTTTCGCTATGGAACTTAAGAAATTACTTGTAAGTGGCAAAATTACCGCTTCGTGTCGAACAAATATGTGTCGAACCGCAGGAGCTCTCTTCTGGGAAATAACAGTAAGGCCCTGTTATGGCTAAAAACTACTCTCAGTACGTAGCGTAGTACATACAGCTAACTTAGACTAGCAGTCGACACGTGAAATTGTCAAGTGGTCGCTTTGGCCATCCCAATAAAGTGTTTGGTTTCCCATCGCCCCGTCTCTTTTGATGGTTGGTCGGTCGGTCGGGCAAAAAAAAAAGAGAATGAACACTTTGTGTTCAGTTTACTTTTGCATATTAAATCTCAAGTCTAATCTGTAAGATACATAATCAGATGGTAAAAGATGTATATTAACTCGACTATCAAATGTCTAAACAGCCTTTAAAAAACGTAGTATCGATGTCATTTAAAGACAAGGACATCACATCATACCAATGTTGTTAAAACAAGATCGTGTGCTTGTAAATTAGAGTACTTCCTTCTTTGACTATTGAATCTGAATTTTCTTTTTTACTTTTCGAAAAAAATGGGTCGGTTGGGCGATGGGAAACGAAACATTTCATTATTGGGATGGCCTTACAGGAGGTTACGACAGATCGAAAACCGTCGTCCCAAAAACTGACAGCCGTCGCTTTACGGAGCCAGGGGGTCGTTTACGACCTCCTTGAAAGGATCTAACTACATTTTTTATTTATTTCTCCTTAGTAAAATCATAAATACATACAGAGATAAATAAGGGAAAGGCGCAAATGATAGCTAGGGTAGTACCTTTTCCCAACGGTAGTGGTTCAATAGTAGGCCACAGGAATGCAACGCCGGCCGCGCCTAGAACGTTTCATGTGAAACATGCAATGAATAAGTATTTTATTTAACAACAACAACAACAACATAAGCTTTATTTGCATGACTATAATTATTTAGTTACAGTATTGCAAAAGCTTTAACATGACGTTACAATTTATAACAATGATAATGCAATGCAATGATTACTACAGTCAATCAAATGTCATCAGCATGATTTGATAACAAATTAGTACGTAAATCATTTGATTTTTTCCAGATTAAAGCGGCAGACATAATTTCTCGAGCAAGCGATGTGTTAAAGAAGGGAGCGCACGCGGAAAATCTTGGACCTGTAAGAGTTGAAGAAGACTCCCGATCTATTTATACAGCAGCATCGAACGTGCTAGAAGCGTCCAAAGAGACCTCGCAGTCTTTCGTTATAGAAGGTAAATGCGAGCTTGTCCCGGGGGGGGGTTCTTTAGGAATTTCTGGGTGGGAATGTGCCGCTGGGACCCTGGAACCCTTGACCTATACCAGGGCTAGTTCAGCTGAATTTTGCTACCCTATACTAGAGTAAACTCCCCAAATCCCCCCTATCCTAGAGTAGCTGTTTCCCCAGTCTAGATAAAATCTTCAACCAACTGATCAGTTTCCTGAAAAATGATACCCTATTCTAGACCCAAACGCTCTGATTTATATACCCTATCCTAGAGTAAACTGCTTGAAAATCATACCCTTCACAGCGGCACATACCCATATAGCCCATATATGGCAGTACCGGCCCCCCCCCGGGAGCTTGTATGCAAATCATCTATACCATCCATTTCCTCAAAGGCCGAAAATCTCTCTGTGGTCATTCAGTTGAGATGAAAATATAACTTGTGTTAAATCCTGGATGCAAAATCCTGGGATTTTTCCAACAAGAGAAGCGAGAGTTGCATTCCCGGACCTGTCCGCTAAAGAAGGCTAACGCGGCTTCTGGGAACGAGAATGGGTGTGTGAAGCTACGTGCGCATGCGTACAAGCTGGATGTATATCACTGCGTGAATCAGAACGAGATTTTTACGTTGCTAACATCGTCAATTGTCCATGCCAAGTGAAAAGAGAGGGGATGTTGAGATACTTTCGCAGGTTTACACTTAATTGGTTTGCAAGAATACAGAGTCAAATGGAATGATGGCCGTTCTGTTTATACTATTAGGGACTTTAAGATCCGAGAGCGAAGACGGAGGCGAACGTCCCTTAAAAAAAGGAACTCGCATTATTTAAATCTTCATCGCGATTATTCCTACTCACTTGCTTTGTCAAATGTAGGCGAACTCTCTTCCCCCCTCGCCCCCCGCCCCCCCCAAAAAAAATCCGGAAAAAGAAAGACAATTTCGTTGAGGCTTGCTCTTTCATAGAACGTGAAATTCAACATTTTCACGTCGTAGTAATGCAGTGACGAAAGAGAAATGTTCAAACAATTTGTGACACGCTTGCAGAGTTGTTTGTTTCGTTATTAAAGCTATTGTTATTTCTTCTTTTTTTTCACGATCTCTTCTTTGCCGTTGCTGTCATCAGAACTTAAGATCCCTTTTAATAAACCTGTAATATGATTAACCAATATTTACTTCCTCAGCTCTTAATGGCAGCTTTCCCACCGACTCTCCTCCATCACGTGACTGGGCTCAGCGAAACAGATACTTAGAAAGTGAACAGGTATTTTTTTCTTCGATGTAGCTTTAACCTTATGGTAATGAATTGTTTTGCATGTTTTGCACACTTTGCGTACTCTGCTATCCCATTTATGATAGCTAACTGATTATGCGACCCGACTAATTACGAAGACGGCCTAAGTTTCCGAAGTTGATAATCGGAATAGACAACCTGATCCAGAAGAAACTGTGGCTCGTTCAGACAATGTGCTTTGATAAATTGTCTAGCGATAACATAAATGGTAGACTCCAAAGCTAAGAGAGAATTGTTGGTTTTGACATGACGTGACTAAAATTCAAACTACAAAACTATCGATCCTACCGAGATTTTACTTTCACGATGTATTAGAGCAGCTGAAAACTAATTTTTATACAAATTTACGCTTCAAAAGGGTTCTTGGTTTTGTGATAGAGTACGCTTGAATTTCTAAGCTTTCGGGTGACGCGGCATTTACATGACGACCAAAGAGAGTTGTCATGTAGATTAAAAAAAACTTATTTCAAGGAATTTTGCTATCTAAACATCTAAAGTATTCCTTTAATGTTTATGAGTTCCTCGTAGAATAGCAAAACTCGGTAACAGATGTTTCTGTTGGGTTCCGTCCGCCATGTTGGAGCCCGTCCAGGTGGGAACCAGTATGGCGTCTCCACACAAATCTCTATAAATTTGGGTAAAACATTTCTTCCGAGATCTCTTATACGAAATATTCCTCTGACCTGAATCTTGGCGAGGGTCTTTGCATATTTACCGCCTTTCATTTCCCAGATTCTGGACTTAATCTGTTGAAGGGTTTTGCCTTTTATTTTGATCTATTTTGAATGGCGTGACAGTGAAAACCAGCGATAGGGAAAATCGAGTGCGCGAAAAAGTCCCTCTTGCGCCTGAATTTCCCTTCGCTGGGAGGTAACCCTGCGATGGACTAACATCCCTTCTCGGGGGGAGTTGCAATAATCCTAGGTGCTTCATGCTTATGAAACCAGGATAAGCTCCGGCCATTTGGGCCTTTGACTCGTGTGCGCATTTACCTTTTTTTCCTTAATTTTATTAATTTAGGATGCACAAGAATCCAAACAAGTGGTGGATACCATCATATTTAAAGCTATTGATGCTGTTAGTGGAGCAATTCAAAAGTCAAAAGTTGTAGAACAAGGCGAAACAAAAGTCCATACTTCGGCTTTCTCTTTGAGGTTGAAAACCTCTCGTAAAAAGGACGTCAGTGCTACTGTTATGGAAGGTTCTTTGGTCCGTTTTGAACTTCCGGATCCATCTGCCGTCCTCAAAGACTATGGAGATGACGACAAAATTGATATAGAGGTTTGAAACTTAATAAACCACATAGTTTTTTTTTTTTTTTGCAGAATACCAGTTGTATTAGAAAACCGCAGGTCATCTAGGGGGGTGGGGGGGGGGGGGCGCACCCCTGCACCCTCCCCCTAGATGCGCCCCTGTAACTAGAATCACCTGCCATTTATTCTCCACTAGCAACGAAAGTGAAAACAATCTTGCGTGAAGCAAAAACAAATAACGAAGAAAACTCGCAATTCGACTGAACGAACACAATTTTTTTCCCTTGCTTCGGGGCCGTTTTTCACGCTGAAATAAGTATGTTTGTTCTTGCTTCGCTAATGAAATGCAAGTGTAATGTCATTTGTTAGAATGTTTCCTTGCACTTGGTTAAAAGGCTAGTGTTTGGCTGGTGTCTACGAAGGGTGGGATGTTTTTGGTTTTTTTTTATGTTGTATACTCTGGCCAATCATTGCTGGAAGTAACTACTTGATAATAGCGCGAAACGCAGGAAAAATGTTCGAACAAATCAAGATTTCTTTAGTTTTACTATTTTGGACAGGTATGACAGATTTCCCAGCACCTCAATGCAAGAAGACCTTGCGAAGTTTCTTTCCTTTAGCCCTAAGACTGATCAGCATAAAATTTTTCCTTGTATGCTTTTTATAACCAAGTGGTCATGAGAATTACGGACATGATCACACAAGATGAATTTGCTTGATATTTTATCAACTTCTCCCCACTACTTCTGTAGGAAATGAATAGAGGCAACAAAGGAGAATTCAGATTTTTATCTTAGGGTTTAAAGGGTTAACACTGCTACACATGAATTCTGTAGAGTATGTTGGAAGCTCTCTGACGGTGTACAATCCATTGTTTTATGTTTACAAGTTATGAGGGCATAAAGCAATGCGACGTTTTTATTGGTCAATAAGATCAGATTGACAGGAATGCTATTGAACGTTGTACATCATCATGTCCACAAAAACATTTAACAAACGGAGTCAGTCGGGCTTCATAACCATTCCACTCCTTAACTATGGTGAAATCTAGCCCGCGGTTTAGTTTGTTTCCAGCTTAAAGGGGCTGTGTCACGGCTGCCTAATTCATTTTGTTTCTAAATGCCTCTAATGCCTTCTTAGCCTCCCCGCAGACGTCCTTTGGGGTTCGTTTGTCACGCATTCATTTCTCCCCCACGGGGGAGAAATGAATGCGTGACAAACGAGCCCCAAAGGAAGTCTGCGGGGAGGCTAGTGCCTTCTCTAATGCTATGAAACTTGAGAAATTGCCTGTGAATGACAAAATCACTACTTCGTGTCAAATAAAATGTTATGTCTCCCAAACATCATACTTATCAGTGGTTACAAACAACAAAAATGAACTTTGAAAAACTGTTTAGTGAACAAGTCAAAAACCACAATTGCAATGCGTTTCAATCTTCTTCAAGTTTGTCCGTCCCTGCTTCCCTTTTTATTTTCTGTGTCATTTATAACTTAATTCTTCAAACTTTTCGAGCGGTTTTTTTAAATGACTCACTCAACTTGGTGGCAATTCCTACAGTGTTAATTTTGATACTAGCCTGCGTGGCAGGCGTTTGAAAGGGGATTGAGAAAAACGCGAAACGCGGGGGCGCGCGAGGAGGGAAGGAGGGAGGGTTTTCTTCCCTCCTTCCTCGCGCGCCCTCGCGTTTCTGTCGCGCCTAAAACTCCCTTTCCCTCTCCTTCAAACGCCTCCCAAGCAGGCTATTTTGATACTGAATTTCGTCCAGCTCTGGCCCTTAAATCTATTTTTTTGTTGTTTCTTTTCTGCTTAGTACACGTCAATGAACAACGCCTTCCTCTCTGATCCTAAATGGTCGCCATACATAAATCAGAAGATACAAGGTTTTTCTCTGAAACAAGGTGAAGAAGACATCGTCGTTCAAAACCTCGACAACAAACTTCAAATGAACATTCCCGTCAACATAACGGACGTGTCGAAACGGTACAACCATAATTTTACAGCTAAGCGTATTAATACGCATCGCTACCAAGTAATTCCAGACGCACCTTACGACAGATTTCTAGTTCGAGTGCATCCTGAAAATGGCGAAGAGTTAAACGTCAATTTAAGTATCACTTATGAAACAAGCTCTTCACTATACAAGCTGAGCTTTCCAACACCACCTGATGAAACGGAAATCGCCGCGCCATTTCAAAAGGCTGATAACTACTCGTACATAGCCTGGAAGCTGCCTTCACGGCCCATTATTCTCAATTTAAACGTCACAGTAGCCAAGCCGTTTTCAGCTCAGGAGGGGTCTGGTAATAAATCACGCGCTTTGCATGTGACCTATTCAGTGGCCATATACGCTGTGCAATGTATGTACTGGGACAGGAACAAGTATGAATGGCTTGACACTGGTTGTGAGGTGAGAAGATACTTCAAATTTAATCCATGTAGGATTTTATTAATGTTCACGCTTTCGCTCCAACTACCCAAGCTATCCCACATGCAGTTGCTATTCTCCACTTCAGAAAATTTAGGGAGAAAGGGGTACAAGCTTTGGGCGCCTTGATTTTGGGGATCGTTTTGTTGGACAAGCGTTATGATTGGTCGATGGTATTCAAAGCAACCATTAAGCAATCATAAAAAACGGTTGCCCAACCGCACGATCCCAGAAATCATTGCGCCCAAAGCTTTTACCCATTCCCCATAGGGGAATTCTGACCACTAGCCTCCCACACAGACATTCTTGATTTTGGGTCTTCGCAGGCTATTTTACCACCTACCCTTGCAACAGTTTTGCGCCGTGCCAAATCTCACTATACTTTACTCATGTTTATTACTTCACCTTTGCCTAGTTTAAACTTCCCGCTGATGCAGTAATCGGAAAGCATGCCCGTCATACCTCTGTACTCAACATCTCAACAAAAATGACCAAAATATGGTCTTTTCAACGCTATCGCACTACATTCACTTTAGTCGAATTTGATCCCCTTTTCTTAGAACTTTCTTTTAACGAAGAAAACTTTATGTACATCTTTCTCAACAACCAAAAAACTGTGAAATTCCTATTGAATCCTGTTCTACAAAACCCTTCAGGTTGGCCGCAACACGACCAGTGAATACACGCAATGCTTCTGCAACCATGCGACGTTTTTTGGATCCCTTAACGTGCGACCAAATCCCATTGATCCGCCAACGTTTGCCGCGCTTAAAGAAGGATACGCCATGTTGATATTTGTCAGTGTCATCTTTTTACTGTATTTCATTGCCCTAATTTGGGCAAGGAGGAAAGACAGGGCTGACGTCATCAAGGTAACAATCAAAGTTAATCCTTCTCTCAGGCTTCTAATTCTGACTCCACTAGCACGAGTAATTCTATGTCGCGGTGACAATTTATTGAGGGTTAAAGGAGCTGTGTCACGAAATTCAGCCAAATTAGGATGCCCGTTAAATTAAGAGAAACATAAAAATAACCGTTTAAAATTTTAAAGGAAGGTTAAAATAACATAACAGAAACAACAGATGCCTCTGATGGGCAAAACTGAAGAAGATTGAAACGGATTGAAATTAGAGTTTTTGAAAACGGTTCAGCCTAACAGTTTTTCAAAGTTGATCCCTGCTGCTTGCAATTTCAAAAACAATGCTCAGGAGACATATTTGTTTGTCTCGGATCTCTGATTTTATCATTTACATGTAATTTCTTTGCTTACTTTAAGTTCCATAGCGATTGAGGGCGACTAATTGGCAAAATTAAAGAATATGAACTAGACTCCCGTGACACAGCCCCTTTAAATAACTGAGAATTGAAGGAACTTTCTTGGCAGTTAGTCAGTCACTCATCCAGTGCATAATGTTAAACAGTTCAGTGGATGAAGTTTTCGTGATATCCGGAATACAAGGTCGAGGTTGATAGCACTTACCGAGACTTTGATTATTCTGGATATAGCAAAACCTGAATCTAATAATTGTTTCATTATACATTGCTTTGAAGAAAATGACAAATAACATACCATCGCATAGAACACAGTTTGACGTTCCCTTGGAATCGCAACCTACAGATTAGTCACCAATGTGCTAGCAGATAACTGACTAATCTGTAGGTTCGGCACTGATTTCCAAAATTAACCGTACGCTCTTAGCCATTGAAAAGACAGGTAGTGCCGAGTACAATGTGTACTGAAAAACAAATAATCTGCTGTATCCTTGATCGTTTCCTCCTTAAGTGGTGCGGAAAAAATGTTTTGGAACAAAAGAAAGTTTTACATGAGAAAAATTCAGCTCCCACAGATTTAGTACCAAAAAAGGCAGGTGAACACGAAGACTAGCCTACGCAAAATATATATCCCATCATCTCAGGACAATCCGGCCGATCTGTACATCAGACTAATTCGTTCTCATCTCTCTCAATCGTTAGACATTCCAGTGTCTTCTATAGCCTTATGAAATCGCATGAGCTATGACTTGCTAAATAATAATAATTCAAAGTTTAAGTTTGCAATTTGCGAATGAATTACTCATTGTAAAGATTGTACCACACGATTTTCTCTGTCCTCAGGTTGGTGTTTGCCCGCTGCGGGACAACGATCCGTCAGACCCGTACCGTTATGAGATTACCTTATGGACGGGCATGCGCCGTAACGCAGGGACCAAGTCTAAAGTCAGCATGATAGTGTACGGCGACGAACACGACAGCGAGCCTCGGTCATTGGAGTATCCAGAAAGAAGTCCCTTTCAACGTGGCAGTCAGGACACATTTTTACTGACCACGCCCTTCAGTATGGGTACCATTCAATACATACGAATTTGGCACGATAATGGTGGTGGGTCGTGGTTCTTAAGTCGAATAATGGTTATCGATCTACAGACAGATGAGCGGTATTACTTTATCTGTAACAGATGGCTGGCAGTTGATGAGGAAGATGGACAGGTTGGTAAAAATCTTGCAAATTATTCAAGTTACTTCAGCTTTTTTCCTGCTATTGTCGTTGATGTTCGTTGGGCGCGATTTTTTGTTACATTTTTTGATGATCCACTTTTACATATTCGTTTTTTAACCCTTTAAGCCCCAGTATCTACATACAAATTCTCCAAACTGATCTCCATACATTTCCTTAAAGAATGAGTTGGGAGAATTTGAGAAAAGATCAAGGCATTTTTACTTAGGTGATCATTTTATTAATGCTCATAACTTATCTGTTGACAATGTATGGATATTGTTAGGAGAAAATTGATCTTGGTCACTTGGGACTTAAAGGGTTAAGTGCATCTCTAATTCATATGAAAATTACAGCAATACGAAGACCTGTGGTGTGCCTTTTGGCGCACTCTTATTGACTTAAGAGTGTCGGGCGTTCACTGAAGAGATTCCGTTTCAAGAACCGTTTCTGCTATTAGCCGGAGTTGATTTGGGAACTCCGTGTTTAACTTCTCATGCAACAACGCTATTAAGTCAGGGGCGGATCTAGGGGGAGGGTGCAGGGGGTGCGCACCCCCCCCTCCCCCCCACGAGATGACCTGCGGTTTTCTAATACAACTGGTATTCTGCAAAAAAAACTATGTGGTTTATTGGTGTTGAAGTAGAGCAAGAGACGAGTGCACCCCCTCCTAAAAGAAATCCTGGATCCGCCCATGTAAGTAGCCATCAGTTCTAACAGGTTACCTGGGTTGCCATTTCTTTTTTTCGTATGCAATGTAGGCGCGGCCGCCTCGGATAGCTCACAGGTTATTGCAGTGTGCAAGCATCATCATGATATACCACTTAAAGGCAAAATGTATTTACCATTGTTGTTGTTGTTGTTGTTAACGTTGGAGTTGAAATTGTGAATTAAAAGCGAATCAGTTGTTTTAGTCATCTGATCTGCCCAACCATAGCCCTAACTGACTCTCCCTAACTCTTCATCAATGTCCTTTCCCATCTGCAGGTCGAACGCCTCGTGCCGCTCGCCAGCAAGGAGGAACTCACGGAGTTCGGTCACCTTTTCGTCGCCAGAACTCGCCGTAACCTTAGCGACAGTCATCTGTGGTTCTCAGTGCTCGCTCGGCCCGCAAACAGTCGATTCACGCGAGTCCAGCGGTTGTCCTGCTGTTTGTGCCTCCTGCTCATGTCGATGATGGCCAGCGGCATGTACTATGAAAGAGAAAACGATTCCGCTAATGTGCAGCATGTTGGCCAATTTGTTTTCACGTGGGAGCAGGTAAAGATGATGAAAACTTTCTTTCCACCGAATTGGACCCGCTACTTGTCACTAACAATATTTACACAAAGTACTTCACCAATACTTCGTGATTATATAAGTACGACCCTTAATCTATAACCTGTCAAAGTACAGACAAAAGGTTAAACAGTGACCAACAGGCAAGCGGTCCGTTTTCTTCCCGGCCAGTCAAAAGAAAGGCTTTACTGGCAATGACCAAAGGTTATGGAGTGCGGGCGAGAGAGATCGAAGGTCAAAACGCTCTTGCTCTAATGCTGTACTTTGTGTACGTGATGGAAGGTAGAAACTCTCAAGATCAAATTACGAGTGATAGGTCCAAACGCGCGTGATCAGGTTACGTTCTATTCGTTCTTAAGGTTGGTTTTTACTAGCGACGGAGTCGGAGTCGGAGTCTTAAGCGGAGTCGTAAGAGAGCTTATGACTGAGTGAAAATCAAAAATCGGAGTCGTAAGCAGAATCATAAGCGCGATGGAATCGTAGTCGGACGAATCAGAACGTTTCCACTTTCTTCCGACTCCGCTTATGACTCCGTCGCTTACGATCCGGTGAAAACCAGATTGTCGGAGTCGGAAGCAGAAGCGGAAGGATAAACCAATCCGGCAATGCACTTTCCCACGCTTTGTGATTGGTTTAGTTCTTCTACTTTTACTTGCGACTCCGACAACCTACTTTCCACTTGATCGTAAACAACGGAGTCGTGAGCGGAATCAGAGCGCTTAGATTTCACTAGGTGGTAAAGTTCTACGCTTCTGATTACGACTCCGACTACGACTCCGTCGCTAGTGAAAACCAGCCTTAGTGGAAGTCGAAACAAATGCTGACTTCATACTTGCCAACCCTGCGTGATAGCAACCTAGCGATTAGGGTTGCGGGCTCCTCTGCTCGTGTGTTCGCCCGCAACAAATCAAAGTATCCTTCCCATTTTCATTTCAGATTTATAAACAAATTTTACAATTCACATTTTTTTCTTTTTTCTCTATTTCATTTTTGCAGGTACTCATAGGCATCATCTCCAGCCTTATTGTTTTCCCAATCAACCTCATTGTCGTTCAGATCTTTCGTAATGTCCGCCCCAAACCTAAAGTGAAACCCAAAAAACCTCCGCCACAACCTCCGCCAAGTCTGTCCTTTACCAAGGACAATATCGAAAACTACAATCACCTTAAAGAATCATCCGATGAATCTACAAAGGGCTCAAATAACAGCCTGGATTCCTCAAGGGAACAAAACAACAGGACAAGACTGTCTATCAATGACGTGCATACCGACATAGATCGCGCGAGCTTCACTGACAGTCCGCTGCTTATTGATCGAAGGCTCAGTACGGCTTACGAGATAGGTATACATTTGTTTAATTAGCAATTAATGAATTCGGCTTTCGTAGGATATGAAGAATTAAGCAGATCGAGGAGGTTTTTATCCACTGAGATCTGCTTAATTCTTCATATCCTACGAAAGCCGAATTCATTAATCGCTTTATTATTAATTCAAAATAATTCCTAGTTTTAAAAAAAACATAGCTCAAGCCTGCTTACCTGCATCGATGTTAAGTTTATCTTCGATAGTGTACATTTAGGTTTATCCAGCCCCGCAAATATTCTCCAAATAGCAGATGTCGCCCTCTGAGGTGTCTTCTTGCTGTTTTTGATATGTTTTTAGCTGCTATTTCGCCTAGTTCCAGCTGTAGTTCTTACTCTTGAAACGAGTAAAGTGTCCGCCATTTTTGTTTTCACAAGCAAATCAACTCAATCTCGTCCCCAGGTCTTCTCTGTAACGGTGCCTTAACCTGTAGCGAGCTGCATTTTTGACGTCATTTCCTCGTTAAACAAAAAATTCTTCCAAATTTGGGCATCAGTAACTGGTTATGGTGAATTATGCGTGTGCTTTTAGCCAATCAGAATCAGGGAAATATTTGGAATGAATAATAACAATACTTAATAGTGCTATGTGTTGGCCCGAGTGGATTTAAGAATAAAAAACCTGAAGAAAAATGGAATGAAACCCTTTCACTATCTTTCATTAAGGCTTTTTTAACCTACAAAAAAGGTTCTCGAATCACAAAGCACTCAAACAAGAAGCGGCTTTTTAAATACCACTCCTGGCGTTTTCTGAAAGTTTTTTGTTTAAGAGTCAGAGAAATTTAACGAGCAATATTTGACTTTTAAGTAATATACCAAACACGAGAAAAAGTGTTTCATCACAAGATCAAACCGACTGAACACATAGCTGAAACAAGACGGGCAGCGGACTGTTTTTGAGGAATTTCGGTTTTGTGATAAAACACTTTGTCGAATAATGTTTAATATCACTTCTCAAACAAACAAAACCTTAGATTGAGAAACTAGGGATGAAAGAATGAGGAGCTTTTCATCTGAGTAAACATAAATTTCCTTTGTATTTTAATCAAATTTATCTTTTGATCATTCTCTAGCTCCTACATCTCGTTGGCGACGTGCAGTATTGTTTTTCAAGAAAAGGAATTCTTTGCCGTACCAGGCTGTCTACCTGGCTTGGTTTCTAGTGTTTGCCTTTTCGACCGGGTCCGCAGTGGTTGTTGTGCTTTATGGCATGCAGTTCAAGAACGTCAAGTCTCTTCAATGGCTGTTTTCGTCGGTTGTATCTTTCGTGCAGGATATCCTAATTACTCAGCCTCTCAAGGTACAGAATAGTAAAGAATTTCTCCTCCTTTATAAAACGTAGTGCATTGAGCTCACAATGGAGCATAGCAGTCCCGATCAAAAGAGCACCGCTTTACTGAATTCTTAACCCGTAATCATTTTCAGGTTTGAAGTATCTAAAAAATGGATTAAGCGATCAGTCTCCAGTGAGTGGTTTTCCATACAAATCCTTCAAACTGTCTTAAAATCTTTTCATAGGTATTATGGCGCTGAAATTTTCTTTTGTTCATAACAGACTAAGTGAATTATTCAGCGTCAGCTTAAAAATTTCAAAATTTACAAGGATTTGAATTGAACACCACTCAACCGTGACTGGGTGGCAAGAGTTGTTTTTCCCATACAAATCGTCCTAATTTTCGGCGGCCGTTGCGAACGCTCCTTTTAAGATACACGGCTGAAAACTTACAGTTTACTTAATTTTTATACGCTCTTTCAGTTCCTGCTAAAATCATATTTCCAAAAAGAATGTTTACAGAACGTTGATCACGTGACCAACTATTGCAAAAGGCCTATTCTGCCCTGTTTCTTCTCAGGTACTTGGGTTGGCCGTATTCTTTGCTCTTGTTGTCAAGAAACCAGACCAAGGCGAGTTCGAGATCACAGAAGAGGCCCTAAAACTTGCCGAGGACGAAGAATTTCTACAGCAATCCAATCAAACAGGAGAAAAGACCAACAAAGCCAAACTCTTACCCCCCGATCAAGCCAAGCTTATTGCTATGAGAACCGCAAGATTGAAGGAACGTAAGATGTATTCCGTGATCCGGGAAGTCGTGACATACTATTTTTTCGTTGCGTTACTCTTGACGATTGCATACACACATCGCAGCCCGACAGCGTTTTACCAGACCACAAACATGGTCAACATGATAGGAGCAAGCTTCAGCAATGTAAGAAAATTGAAATTCTACCCTGTTATGACTTAAATTAAACACTAACGAATCACTGTATATACTTGGTGGGTTGGTAGTGATATTCATTAATCAATAACCTCCATATTTGTCTGAAATATCAATGTTTCCAAGAAATATCGGCTGTCCGATGTTAGTCACCTGACCACTGACAGCGAGTGGAGACTGTTCACTGACCTCTATATATATCGATTGCGAGGTTTCGATTTCATTTAGCGAACAAAATCATGAAAGTGTATTAAATGGGCGGCATGGGTAGAGGCGTGAATGCCTTATTGTGATTTATGAGTGAAAGCCTCGATTTAAGAATGACATCACAATATATGACACTGAACATCGTAAATAATGCCCGTCAGTAAATATAGGAACCATATGGTATCGATTTCAAAAACCCCCTTCGGCCCACCAAAACCCCTTTCGGACCTTATGGGTTTCCTGTGGAACGACATCAGCTCCTCCACTGCTCGAAACTTCTTAAGGAAATAGCCTCTTTTATGGATGTAACCTTTTTGCCTTCTGCAAACTACTAGGTGCGGAAAATACCCTGGTTTTTAGTGGCTGTAAAAAGTTTATAATTTGTTCGTTATTCAGATCACCAACCAGAGGGAGTTCTGGAACTGGGCTCAAAACGACTTGTTAAACAACTTGTTTCCCGGTACCTGGTACAACGGTGCAAAGAGACAACCTGACGGTTACATGGCAGACGGCTACAGTCAGATGGTGGGAGGAGCAAGAATGAGACTTTTAAGAATTAAGCAGGGTCAGTTTAACGTAACGCGGCACTAAAGCATTTTAATTGCTTTTAGCTATTGGCAAGTTTGTAATGCAATTGATAGTTTTACCGTGGTGCTGATTTAACTGTGACAGTGAGTGCTCTTGATATTACATTCGTGACTGTGATTGTGACTTTGGTTCAGTGTGCGCCACAAAGAGGGGAAATTGTTAGTCCAGATCAAATAGTAGTACTGTCTGTTGCGTTCAGGTTCTAAAAACAGGCATAGAAACTACGAAGTTTGTTCTGGCAGTGCGCCATGCTAAGAAAGCTATTGTTTTGAAAAGTTGGGCTATTCGTGCAAGGGAGGGGGATCAGTTTCTTTAGTAATTTCCCATCTCTGGCTTAAAGAGGGTTTTCTCCAAAAAAAGTGCAGGTTCCGAAAGATGGTATCATCATATCACCGACTTCCATCCTGGGCATTAGATAGTTGAAGCAGCAACGACGGCGACGGACAACGCGCGGTCAAAAACATCAAAAATTCTTGCTCTTTCCGCATCTTCCCGATTATTTTATATGTAGCTGAAAGGTTTCAGTAATGCAATGCATTGAAAGCATCTAATAAATGAATTGGTTACATAAGCGTCAAGAACAAAGAGGAATAAGGATTTCTTTGTTTTCTGTTGGTGCTTTGCGGAATACTTTTAATTTGGTCATTTTATGTTGGTTTTTTTTCTGACGACAGCAAAGAAATATATAAAAAAAATGCAGAGTTCCCTCTCATCTCCACAGGGAATTATGTAATGTTCGAGAAAGTTGACTAAGGAAACGTGGTCGGGTTTGTTTTTTTAAATCAGAATCCTGCCAAGTTCCCTCAGAGATATACGGGATCACCAACGAGTGTTACGGTGAATACTATATAACAGGGGACGACAAGAATGACTACACTCCGGGATGGAACATTACGACATACGCAACTAAGATATCATGGGATGACATGCCGTGGCGATACCAGAACAGTACTCAGCTGGATGGATATCCCTTCTGGGCCAAACTCACTACATATGGAGGTGCAGGGTAAGTAGCTCATGTGAACGTACATGTGTTTTTCCCCAAAGTGTCGAGATGTGTACAGACATTCACGCAACAACGAAAATGGTGAATATGGCGAAAATTCAAATGAGACTGCAAAAATGGCCCTGTTAAAAGTGACGATTCTGACAAAAATTGCCAAAAAAATTGACAAAAAAGGTGAATTTTTGCGAAAATTCGCCAAAGGTTTAACCAAAAAAATTCAGATGAGGTGGCAAAAGGGCCCCTTAGATGTTCTTTTTTCTCCTTTTCGTCCAAACCCCGTTCCTAGAGTCTCTCTTCTTTTTGTGACATAAGCGAAACAGACAGGATGATTTGAAGAGAGACTGTGGAAAGGACAGTTGCATTGAGAGAGCTGTTCACAAGTCAGGATTGACATGCACAAGACTACCGACAATCAGTCGTCCTTCTATTCCTACGGTTTACTCTAGCTCAACCAAAATAGATGCCTATAAAGCTCTTATAGCAACATAGCCTGCGTAGCAGGCGCTTGGAAGTAGGGGGCACAAGAAAAAACGGGCGTGCGAGAAGGTGACACGCGCGGGGAGAGCGAGCTTCCTCACCCCCCACGTGTCTCCCTCGCGAGCGCCCGTTCTCCCTTTCGCCCACTACTTCCAAGCGCCCACGTTATGATTTGGGGGCTGGGTTGATTTATGCGTATCAGGGGTTCGGTGAGATGATATTAGGGACTTTAAGATCCAACGACGCGACGGCAATGAGAACGTTGCTTAATTAAAATGTGAATTTGCGTCCTTTCAGTCTTTATCGCAATTATTCCTACCCACTTACTTTGTCAAATAGAGGCGAACCCTCCTGGAGGTAAATTCCTAGGCACCATATCCAAGTACAGTAAGAGAAATAACATTTCGTCGTCGCTTGTTTACGTCCTCCATAAAACGCGAAATTAGGCATGTTTACGTCTTAGTCGTGCAAAAACGGGCAGAGAAATGTACAAAAAAGCAGGGTGCACGTGCAAAGTTGTTGTTTTGCTAATAAAACCTATTGTTTTTTTTTTTGACGTTCTCGTTACCGTCCGCGTCGATAAGCAACAACGACGGCGAAGGCGACGGCTACGAAAACGTCACTTAAAAAGTGAATTCGCGCTTATTCCAGCTCGTGTAATTCGTCAAATGTTGGCGAATTTTTCTGGATTTGAATTCCAAAGGACAGTATCGAAGTTCAGGAAAACAAAAACGAAGTCGTCGTCTTGTGTTCACGTCCTCCAGAAAACGTGAAATCAGGGAGTTCCACGTCGTAATCGTGCAGTGACGGCAAAGAAATGTACAAAAAAGCGTGGTGCACGTGCAAAGTTGTTGTTTTGCCAATCTAAACCTATTGCTTTATTTTGCCGTTCTCGTTGCCGGCGCCGTCGTCTTTGCTTATTTAAGCTCCCTATTGGGAGGAGAGGGGTACTGCATGAAACAGTCTCAAAATTTTGAATCTTCATGGGTTGGCATCTTTGACTATATTTAGATGTCTTATCTGCAAAATGTTTTGCGGGCCTTCTTTAATATCCCTACTATACAATTATCTACGACATTCTTAATTCTGTACTTGAAACCTCCATAGCCAGTGATCACTTCCAGCTGTCTCAAATGACACAAAATGAACAAGCGTACTTCCAATTTTATGGAAACCAATCTTGTTTTTTTCAGATACGTAATCGTTCTTGAACCAGCCTTTGACAACCACGCTCGAATAAAAAAGCTGGAAAACAATCTGTGGATTGAGCGGCATACACGTGCTATCTTAACCGAGTTTACCATCTACAATGCACAAAGCAATCTTTTCTGTATCGTGACATTAGTGGCTGAGTTTTCCGCCATTGGCGCTGTTTTACCATACATAAGTGTCCAGACTGCTCGCCTTTACGACTTCACGGATTCTTACATGTTCTTTGTACTTGCTATTGATGTCTTATTCGTGCTGTTCATATTATTCTTTACGTATCGTGAAGTCAAAAGCATTTACAAGAGCGGCATCCAAGCTTACGTTAAGGAATTTTGGAACTGTGTCGAGTTTGGTATCATCGCGTTTACCTTTGCTGCCATTGCGTTGTACGTTTACCGTGCGTTAACTATCCGCAACGTCCTGGATTTGGTCCGGTATGATCCCTTTAATTTCAAGAGTTTTCAGTTCGCAGCATACTGGGATGAGTCTTACACATTTATCTTAGCCATCATCGTGCTCCTGGCCAACATTAAACTTAACAAGCTGTTGCGATTCAACAAACGCTTTTCGCTTCTCTCCTCCACGTTGAAGTATGCTTACTATCCATTGGTGATGTTCAGTATTGTGTGGGGTATCGTCTTCATGGCCTTCACCTTGTTTGCGTCGCTTGTTTTCGGCCCTATCATGTACAACTACCGAAACGTTTTGGCTTCATTAACGTCTCTTTTGAGTCTGATGTTGGGTCGGACAGCTTACTTCGAGATGCGTGACACCAACCGCATAATCGGTCCTTTGTTTTTCTTCGGATTCATGTTCATGATGTCGTTCGTCCTCATCAACATGTTCTTATCGATCGTGGTTGATTCCTTCCTAGTTGTGAAGCACGACAATGACAAGCAGTCGAACGAGTACGAGATTGTCGACTTCATCATCGAGCGATTTAAGCTGTGGTCGGGGATCGGGAAAACTCGGAGACCGCATAGTCGTAGACGAGTGCTCTGGGACACGGCCGCCTGCCGTGTGAAAGCCATCAACGCGTTCAGGGACAGGGGACATTCGATAACGATCGCTGGTTTGCATAAGGACATGGTATCTGAGCTGGAAAATCGACTGGAAAAGCTTGTTGTTCGAACTGATGTTTTGTATGATGAGTTGTTCCCCGAAAAAAGGCGTTCCAAGATCACAGGGAAACAAGGAGCAGTGAAAGTAAAACTACCTCTTTCCAAGGCAGATCTACTGGAGGGACGAACAGGCTAAGTCTGGGGACCTGAATTTGTTCGTGTGACAGTCTGCATGAAGGAGTTCCGAGGAAGAAAAAAACTAAGTGTTTTTTTGTTTTGTTTTGTTTTTACAAAAAAAAAGAGTACACAGGTACAGGAAAGACCATGAGTGCTGAATGCTCAACTAAAGAAAAAATCCATACTTATAAAAACGTTTCCTTACGTTTTCAAGTAGTTTTGGAGCTGTCAAGTAATATTATTTTTACCCTTATTGTTTTGGATATTGTATCCAAAAGGCTGAATTGAACATAAAAAAAATTGCCTATTTTTATCACTAAAAGGTCTTCTTGACTGTCCCTCTTTAATATAGCCTCCCACGCAGGCGTTTTTAGGGAAGCGGTGGACTGATTTTGAATAATATATCTTGAAAATTGTACGTACCTCTGGAAAAATCCTGGCTATGCTCCTGTTGAATGGAACTTTTCAAAATGGAAAACCTGTCCATTTCTCCTTTTTTAAAGATAAAATCACTTAGAAAGTTTCTTTCTCGGAACCCATAACTTACATCTCTTCTTCAACATTCTAACGACGTTTTCACTTGGAAAAATTAAATGGAGTCTTCATATGATCATGGACGGTAGATTATGATATTTTTGTTATTTTGTAGTTATATGAGATCTGTTAATTTTCTAGACAGATTCGATTTTGCTTTACAAATAATCAGGAGAGAGAATTCATATGGTTAGTAAAATTATTTTTTAGGATGTGATTCAGTTATAGTAAATATTACCTACTTTGTATGATATGAGAGTTTCATTGAACGCAGTAATGATTGGGGAATGACACAACTAGACTTAAAATTTGCTATAATAATGCACGTTAATGGCGTGTAACGCGTTTTAATAAGGCCATTCATCCTCTTCCTCATCAGGCTGATGAAGAAGTGAGTTTGTGTCTCTTCATCTGGACTCATCTATGTTGTTTATAAAAAAAAAATAGATTTGCGTACATGCTAACTGTATTTTACAGACTTTTCGACAAAATAGTAGACGTAATATACCACCAGATGAACCATAGGGAAAAGAGTTGAAAAGACGCGCAGCAGAGTGTTTTTGACGAACTTCAAGGTGTTAAATCACTGTGTCGAATGCTTGATAGAGTCTTAATATTACCTCTCAAACGAAAGTGATTTTAGAGGAGAAATTAAAGACGCGACAACGAGCAGTTTTTCATCTGATTTCCAAACACTGATTAAACATTAATTTCCTTTGTATTTTCCTTATGAATTGTTAATGAGTTTGAGACTCATAAATTGGTAAATTGAGCACCAGAAGTCGCGTCCAGTCCTTTCCGCGCGCTCTCGCGTTCTCATTTCACGAACCCATTTGACGTCGCGTTGTTTTTGCTACGGCTAATTTCTTGGTACGATGTGCTTTCATTTGCTTTTTTTAACTGACCGATAACGGGAGCAGAAGAGCTGTTGAAGGATCGCTTTGCTTTGCCGAAGGTAACGTCTTTGTAAAACATGGTCATTATATGTATAGCTCATTATCATACGTGAATTTAATAAAGTAGAGCAGTCATTTATATCTGTAACATGACTTATTTTTATTTCAAACTACCTTTTCACTATACAGTGTGCCTCAGCAAGCACATTCTCCATTATTCTCGATATTTCTTGAAATTCACTGAGTAAAAATTTCACCATAATTCCAATAATCTTTACTCAGTATTATTTCTGTTTTGATGTTAGTCTCTATGAGGTCACATGAGATGTAACGGGGGGGCATTATAGCGAACGAGTCTTGTAGGGGGAGTGGGGGTATCCTCGGCCAGAAAATTTTCAGATTTGGAGGCTCCGAAATGCTATTTTCAGCACTTTGTCATGAGATATATCGCCGAAAAATCGACCTCGAATATGAAAATGGCAAACAATTGCAAGTCACCATAATCAAAATAACTGAGTCTAAAGAAAACAAATCCATCCAAAGACTTGATGTGTCTGGCCCAACAGGTCCAAGGGGGGAACAGCTGCCCCCCTTACTCGCCCGCTAGCCAGGGCTCTGGAGATAGGAGCCTGATCTCCTATCCATATCTCACTGCATGAAGTCTACCAGTAGAGATCTGGTTACAATTAGCAGGAAACCATGTGGTGTAATACTTTGGCCCCCCCTGTTTTTAGTGTCGTCACGCACGGATCGTAGCGTGACGACACTAAAAACGACTGTCTAACAGACTACTCTCATCTCTGAAAAAACCATTTCCGAACTATCCCAAGCCTCTGTTCAAAGCGAGGCTAATTGCGAAGCCATTGTTCAGTGTTTTATCCTCGTGAAAATAAAACTTATTTTCACGACTTACTCAGCCGCAAGGTTTTACAGTAAGCCTCGTCTTGAATGTGACAGTTTTCGGAACTCGGAAATGGCCTCTTGAAACAGCGTAGTTTTTTTACGGCGGGCTACTGAGTGCGTATAGTTACACGACAAAGCGCCGGACTTTAGCAGCTGTACTATTCCTCGTGTACAAAATTTATCCCCGTACAAACTACGTCTGAATAAGCACTTCTCTGATGTTTTTCCATACGCCCTTGTTGTAAGGTGTACTTATTTGCCAAGGAGTTTCAGTGATTTTCTGTGTGACCTGAGCAGGGTCATGTTTATCGGTACCAGTCCTCCGTTTTGCCACCTTGTTCCGCGATCCGTGTCCTCTTGGCTGACGAGATAACCTGATGCGGTGTTTTGCGGGAAAAAATCGTTTGCAGAATTCATTCGTGGTTTGATTTGTGAGCACCAGGTAGAAGTGAAATAAGGAGAATCCAGACATGGCTAATCCAAATAATGAGACGGTAAGAAACAGAATGGCAAGAAGTGGATAGTGAACCAGCAGATACTACAAAAAAAAACCAGGAAGATTCAGTGTGTTGAATTAAGGAAATGATCCATGACTCAGGAACCACTCCCTGAGTAGGAATATTTTCATTCTCAAATTAAGCCTCACTAAGAATGAAAACTATAGCTCAGAAGTCTGTTCACGGACCTCCTACTACTTAGATATCGTCAAGGGCGAGCAGGTGTACGAAAACAACTAGATTGGCTCTGCCAGTAACCTGCGAAAGCAGACCTCACCCCCCTCACCCGCCGAGAAAAAAGCGTCTGCGATCCCGAACTGGGAAACGATTTCTGTGACGCCAGCCAGTATTTTTCAACCAGTCATTAATCACAATTTTCGAATATTTCTCGGACGATGAGTATACAGTGCATCATTGTTACCTTCCACCCAAGGAAAGAGTCAATATGGGGTAGCTTGCATTGGTCATTCATGAAACGCGAAGGTTTGACTCTTGTTCTCAGTTGTTAAACCCGTAAACTCCTAGAATTGCTAGGAATTGCTAGGAATTTCTAAAAAATATTTTGTGCCTTAAAACCTTGTAGGTTGGAATTCTTAGGAATTCCAAGTCTAGTTTCATTTGCATTTGGAATTTCTGGGAATTTCTAGGAATTTAGAACCAGAACTTTTTAAACTGGGAAATCCTAGGAATTCCAAGTCCGAATTTATCGTGAAAATCCTAGGAATTCCTAGGATTTTTTTCCAAGGAATTCCAAAAGTTATTTCGCAAAGGTAGGTATTAACCCCTTCACTGCCAGAGTGAATGATAGAGTCTTGTAAGATTGTTCTAACTTTTGAATCTGTGGACTAAAGTCTATGATATGACCATTCAAATGAAACCTCTTCAGCGATAATTTCACATGGTACTATTTGGCTAGAGTGTAGTTCTAACTTTGGAGTCAGTCTGTGCACAAAATTCTATGATGTGAGGATTCAAATGAAACCTCTTCAGCCGTTTTTTAACACGGTGCTATTTGTTTTTAGCATTTTACGAAGTGAAATTTGGAAATTTTGCCAAAATTTGACTTTAGTTACTTTATGCTTTTGGCAGGGAAAGGGTTAAAATATACAGCCTGCTGGAAATGTCCTGACAAAACGCGATAACCATACATGTAAAACGCGGGGCTGTTTTGATACATCTCATTAAATTTTGGTTGCGTTGGAATGCTTTAAGCAGGGGCATCCAACGTCAATTTTCGGAAAATATCTGGTCAGAAGAAGATTTGAGATTTAGAATTTTTGGAACTTTTGTTGCAAAATTTCTTGCTTGCCTGCCTCTCCTAGGATTTTCGAACATCTAAAAAATGGTATAATTGCCCATTTGTAACAGATTTTTACCCTGATAAAGTCACCTCGAATTTTCGGGAGCCCTTTTTCTGGCTGAGATTTTCGAAAAGGTAAGTTTTCATGCCTATAATTTTCGGATCACTAGACTTTCAGCTAGGAAATCCGAACAGATGAAAACTTTTTAGGGGATAAAAATATGCCTATATCTACCGTTTAAATACCAAAATACGTTTAATAGTGCTATGTTTAAGTGGTTTTGAACTATATTCTCGTTGGGTGCCCCTCATGTTTTGTCACGAGGAAACTGTTTCTACAGGGCGTTTGACCAATTGGCAAGAGACAGCCACTTTAATTTCATCTGTCGAGTTACATTTAAGGAAATTATTTTAAAAAATTCATCTTTCACACCTGTTAAATTTAAGTTCGTAATTAAAATTACCTGGGTCAAAATTCTGATGCTAGCTGTATAGTGTCTTCCATCCAAATCGACATACTTCATCGTCATTAAGCCATCTGATACCACGATGTAGGCAAACACCACGGTAACAACAAATGTTGTGTACAAACAGAGGATCGCTGTGCTTATGATGAAACCCAGAAATAATTTGTAGTTCCTCTTCCCAATGCAGTTGTTCACCCACGAACAATGATGGTCAAACCGGCTGATGCACACATCACAAATAGCTGAATAATCAAGTAATTTACAAAAAGAAGATTAATGTAAAAAAATCTGGTCATAATTTAGTAATATAACAGTCATTACTACCACTAAAGAAGCCGAGTAGAAAAGAGCTTTTCAGAATCCTTCCCCTATAGCCTTAGTATCAGATAATTCTTGGGGGGGAGGCGAAGGGAGCAGCAAAAAAAGGGAGTCAGCAAAGGGAGGGAAACTTCTCTCTCCACCGCCCCCCCCCCCACCTCCACCCCCTCTCTGCTTCATCCACTAAAATCTCCTCTCCCCTAACACCTGGCTATCCCTCTGCCACTATTGGAGAAATTAAATTTTAAGAAAACAAAAGTCTTGCCCAAACAAATAGGCCACTTCCAGGTTGCCTCTAGCCAGCTGTAAGCAGGCCCACCTGTGCAAGTTCAGGGAAACTTTTTAATGGAAGAGCTGCTGCTATTCTTGGCCCATTTCTCTTGTGTGCTGGCGGTTCCGCCACCAAACATTTTTCCCAAACTAGCACAAGTTGCCCCTAGCCTGTTTCTAAGTAAATATGTAATTGCGATGTGTTTGACATGAAATAATCTTCCATTCTCATAACAGGGACCGTGCAGGGGGTGGGGCTGGGAAGGGGGGGGGGAGGGCTCTTAAAGACAATCAGAAAGGCAACTTTGGCACCTTCAGATAATCTGACTAACGTCCGGGTGGCACTCAACCATTGCGTAGCCATTTGAGAAGACTTGAATTTGAATTTTTCCTGGGGGAGCATGACCCCGGATCCCCCTCATTTACTCACACTTACACGTTCGCATTAGCCCTTGCCCCCACTTAAAAAAATCCATTCTGCGGGTCCTGCATAATTGAAATAAATTTCATTTTTACATTGAAGGGTTTGCAAGGTTTTGCAAGGACAAATTTCTGGTACATTACACATAGACATGGAATATCTCCACTAGCCCCCCAAAATTGAAATCCACTGTCTGTCCTATTAGTACAGTAAAACCCTGTGACTAAGGACCTGCATTTTCCCAAGTTAGTTATTACTAACAGGTTCTCATATAATAAATTGGTAATTAGCACAAAACTAGGTTGAGTTTGATCGTCTGGGTGAATGTAGTCCTGAATAGGACTGTTGTTGTTGACAGTGACTGACGTTTTGACAACCTGTGCGGTAGTCATCTTCAGAGTCAAAGTGAGTTGTATCATGTCAGTTGATGGTATTATACTCTGGTTGGTCAATTACGTCGCGATGTTATTGGTCGTCTGTCAGTTAAGCCGTGATGTTATTGGCTGTGAGTATAATACCATCACCTTACGTGATACAACTCACTTTGACTCTGAAGATGACTACCGCACAGGTTGTCGAACGTCAGTCACTGTCAACAACAACAGTCCTATTCGGGACTACGTTCACCAGGACGATCAAACTCAACCTACTTTTGAAATGACTCCTGGGTTCAAACTTTTTACAATCAGCAATCAACTTACAGCAGTGTTTAGACCTTGCTGGCTTGACAAGCTTGCAGGTATAGCATTCCTGTGCTGTGCTGTAATACACTCCATCGGGCTCATAATCTTTCATGTATTCAGCATGGTGGGCTGCTGTTATTGCACCAGGGTCTTTTGTAGAACAAATCCAAAAAAAAGTCACATTGATGGCTATAAAAACATATTCAACAACACTGAAGGCATTAATTTTATCAAAGAAGGGAATAACTTTGAAGGTGTAAATTGATGACCCCCCAATGACTAGAAAACCATACAGCAGCTGCACACAGGGGTTCCTAAAAGGAAACAAAAGAATGATACTTCAAATTGTTGAACGCATTTTGTACAAAACAGGACTAACTCTAGAGCTGAATTACTTAAAATAAGTTTATTTAAGAGCCAGATATTATCAAATTTATGTACTTAACTGCTACCTGGTTAGCTCAGTTAGCGGTAGATAAGTTCCAATATGCTGAACAGTCACGGGTTGAACCCCAGCTGGACCACCAACCAGGATCAACTGATAAGATCCTGCTGGCCGTGATTTAAGACCTTTTCTCAGTTCAGATGATCACATCATCGGGCATTGACATCAGACCATTGGCCTCGTCTCCTTTATCCTCTGCACACAATTGGAAGGGGATATTATAGAACCCAAAGAATAGGGGATGTAAACCTGGGTGGCATAGTCTATGTTTTATATCACCAGGCAACACTTGTCCCTAGTTCTCATATGCCACCAACCTACCTATAGCTGCCACGCAGTGCTGCCTGAGAAGATGTTCCAATATACGTACAGAAGTTGCTTGCAAGACTGGCTGTCCCAGTCCTTACTACTGACACACCTGCAAAGTTGTCTTGTCTTCACAGGTATGCTAGTGGTAAGAAGGACTTGCGATGTTTCTTGTTCCCAGTTAGCCTGCGAATGACAGACGTTTCTCCTCGCTCATCGCCGCTGAGGGACATTTCGCGAGCAGGAACGTCTGCGACTTAGCGACAGAAATTCCATACTGATGACGTAAATCAATGTTTACATAAATAAATCCGGTAGTCATGGGGTTCCAAATGCAAATTTGTTCAATTTTACGTTTCTCCTGGTCGATTTTGGTGAAGTGTTGTGTTCATCTGCGAATGAGCTGGAGCAAAACTCAAATGCTACTTTTAGAGAAGACTATATTCCACAAATATTGACTGTTTTGTCAGAGATTCATCGCGTTTACATTTGACCTTTGCGGCCTTTTGTCTTTTGTCTGTAATTTGTAAACAATAGCTAAAACAATGAATCTACTCCGTCGACCAATTAGCGCTTCTGACCGGATTCCGGACAGATTTTGCGTCATCAGTATGGAATTTCTGTCACTGAGTCGCAGACGTTCCTCCTCGCGAAACGTTCCTCAGCGGCAATGAGCAAGGAGAAACGTCTGCCATTCGCAGGCTAGTTCCCAGTGAGGCATGCTCTCATTTTTCAGAACAGTATCACAGGCAGTGGTGATGGTTTATAGGTAATGGTTGGTGGTATATGAGAACCACGCATGCTACACTGGTAAATTGGCGCCAAGCTATGCTGCGTTGGCCTTACCATGCAAATGTGGTCAAAGAGTCCTAAGATTGAATCCCTTGATTGTGGGCCAATGTAAATAAAAGCTGCATCACAACTACTCACTTTGTAGCAGCCTATACCATTCAATAAGTTTCACTATTCAAGCGTACCGTGTAAACAAGATGTAATTTGTGATGTTGCTTATTCCACGAATTATTGATACAGGAACACATCTTTCAAATGCCGATCCAGCCAAATACATAGCCTATAAAATCAAGTTTAAAAATTGACGCTGTATTAAGACTAAAGCTTATGTACGAATGCAGCTATAAGAGATTCACCAAAACAAAAACTTACAGACAATAAATTTCTTCGCATTAACCCGATCCAGCCATTTCGATGATATTCATACTTTCCCGCAATAACTATGTATGATATTGTTACGAAAGAGACGGTGTACAAAAAGGCCATTAAAAGAAAATCCATCATACTCTGCACATTTCGTTCGCCATCATGGTTTCTTGCTACATTTTCTTCAACATACACAACGTAGCTAAAGTCGGCTGGAAATTGTGGGCTCAAAGTTTATTTCTGTATATTTTATGTTGTCATGGTGACCTACTCTGCACCAATCAAACGACAGCGAGTCATCTGTTGCATAGCGAGAGCAAACAATTTTCAAACAGTTTATCACCAAAAATTTTATCGTTTGAATATCATTTTGAGAAAGTAAGTCATAAAGGTAAGTGTCACTTGGTTCGTGTCCGCGAAATTTCAGTTGAAAAATAACATTCTCTGTCGATTGTTTTCAGGGTTAGATATCGTGACTTTGTCGCGGTAGGAACTTTTCCTTATCATTCTTTCAACATTCAGATTGCATCAGACGGCAGGAAAAATGACTTGCCGACCGGAGAAATCGAGTCGCCACTAGCCTGTGAACAGGCCTTTGGTCGACCAGGGATCTAGCTATTTTTTTTCCCAAACAGAGAGCCTGTTCACAGGCTAACTCGCCTCCAGATTCACATGTCTGAAAAATTTAAGCTATATAACGTGTGTTTGGTTTTTGTTTCAGGATTTAAACATGGCTAGCGCTCAAGCTGCTGTTTCACCAGTTGCTCAACCATCAAGGCCAAAATCAGTTTCAAGGCCAAAGAGATGGAGTGAAGAAGTTGAGGAAGGTAACATACATGTCTATATATTTAAATTCGAATGTTGCCGATTTGACACCAGTTGTAATAAATACTTATCCCTGTTTTTCTGGTTCACCAGCTTACCGATTTCAGATCGCTGGTTATAGAGATGTTCATGAATATCGCGATGTCAAACAAAAAGAACCCGTAAGTGATTATAAATATATCTTTCCTTATCATTAGAGGGGCGAAAAGTGCTTGTTTCCCAGTTTTATAGGGAACTTTCTGTCTGACCAGCCCTTGGGTTCCTCCCTAACTGCTTAAAATACTTTCTAGAAGGTGTTTTTGGGGCACTGGTAGAAAATTAGGCATGAAAAAATATTAAGTTAACAAAAATTTTCTTCGCTATTAATGATTCAAACACGGTGTCAAGTGACAGATGACACTTGTACTCAGAAAATAAATTAAGAAAACTAGCAAAGACATTAGTCAAAAAGGAGGAGTTCTTATCCCAAAACAGGGAACTTGCACCATTACCAAACTACTAACTTCGAAAGACAGTTTGGATTTCAGTGTAGGTTTACAGTTTCTGGAAAGGACAAAGTAGAAATCATAATGAGAATGATTTTGATAATGATGATGATGATGATAGTAATAATAACACACCAAAAACCTATGTTGAAGTTAGTAATAATATGTAAGGGGTGACAGTGCACATGACTATAAAATCATAGGCTCCTCGAACACCACAGAGGCTCAAGATCAGTCCCTGTACATTTTCAGATTTTGCCAAAATATTTTGTGATTGGAGTTAAGTCTCACGGATTTTTTGATTTAATGAAAGTTTTCTTCCTTTGGCCTTTTGTCATGTGCACTTGATGTTACCCAAAATATTCTTGATGTACATTTCTGATTGTAACTTAATGAATAGTAGTATTCAGCATTTTCATTGATTAAAAATTTAATACAGCAACTGATTATGCTTCAGGACCAGTGTGCATTACTTCCCTGAGAAAGTACTAAATATTTATGTCTTTTCTTAGGACCGCTGGCCCCACAATGGATATGTGAAGAAACTTCAGAGGAAAGATGGGTGTTTCATTTACTTTGATAGACAAAGAGAATGTCTTGACAAAGATGTCTATAAATGCAAGTTATATGGATACTAGAAACAAAGGAAAAATCTTGAGTAAATTCATCACTTGATAGATATCACCATATGCTACAAGAATATTCATGGACAATAATATAATTGTCAGCAATTAATTATTGCTATTTGATTGAGGAAGCAGAATGGATGTGGTAGATTCTAAGTATCTACTGGTCAAGTCTTGGCAATTCATTTGTTGCAAGCTGTATTGTGTATAGTGGAAATTGTTATGAAATTATTTAAGTTAATGTTTCAAATTCATATGTTCATGTATCGTAATCTGTATATAATTTGACTGATGTGTGGTACCATTGACTGTAATTGCATGAGCTTCGTTTAGGCAGCCTAGGGTAGTATAATGCAGATGATGTTAATATATATAATTTGTAAGATGGATTTTTATAAACAGTTGACAGTAACAATATTATTTGATGTAAAAAGCTATTTTATTGTTGTCTTCAAAGTAAAATCAAGTAAACACTTGTAGAATGTTACAAGTATTAAAGTAACATATTATTTGATGTAAAAAGTTGTCTATCCTTGTCTTCATAGTAAAATTGAGTGAAAACTTGTGAAATGTTTACTGTTTGCTTACCAATTTAGTTATGGCACAATGGTTAGTCAGTCATCTGCAGGGTTGTCAAAAGTAGCCCACTTGGTCAATATCAGCCGGCTACTGTACTTCGCATTTCTTTATGGATGGTGTTTTTTAAATACAATATCCCTGGACTGGCCGCTTACTTTGACAACTCAGCCATCTACTTCAAAACTTTCTAACAATTTTTTCTTTTTTAAAGAATTCAACCAGTGCTTAAACAATGGGAAAGTGAGTGCAACAAAAAGAGGGAATGAAATATTATATAATAAATTACTCCAAAAGTAGCCAGAAAAAACAGCCGACATTTGGCGACGCTACCACTGGTTTCCCCACTAAATGACATCTGAAAAATGAGCACAGAAATTCCATACTGATGATGCGTCACTACCCAGATCTGGGAAGTGCTTCTGATTGGTGGAATCAAATTTCCCACATGGCACAACCAATCAGAAGCACTACCCCATCATCAGTATGGAATTTCTGCACTCGTTTCTCAGACATCGTTTCATGGGGAAACCAATGGTGGCATTGCACAATGTTGGCTGTTTTCTCAGGCTACTCCAAAAGATGTCTTTAGACCATCTTTTTTCTCACTTTCATGTACCAACCCCTTCCTATTGGGGTAGTAGTAACTAAATCCCCCATGGTTTTTATTTTCATATACATACTTGATGACCTCATAAAGAGAAAATAGAAGGTCTGTGAACAGACTCAATTCACATGACCTTTTGTTTTCACTCAAAGCACTTATTTTAATTTGATTGGCCTACATTTCAGTTCTCTGAGAGGTTTGCAGACACCCCAGCTGTGAAAAAAGAGGAAAATACCACTAAAAGGTATCCCTGGCTGTTTGATTCTTTGCCTAGTCATTGTTATTTTATCTGACAACTTGAAATCTTACTGAGAGCACTGCGGGGGGTGGGGGGGGTGGGGTACTGCCCTATATGGGCTATATAGGTATGTGCCACTGTGAAGGGTATGGTTTTCAAACAGTTTACTCTGGGATAGGGTATATAAGGGACGGACCATTAGGAAACTTATGGGGGGGGGCTGAAGTACAAAAAAAAATTCGCACAAGGGAAAATTAAATGAAAAAAAAATCTTGCACGCCAATTAACCCTAAAAAATATTCATGCTATGGCCTAAAACAAATTCATGCAAGGAATTTGATAACGAAAAAAAATTCATGCGGCTCGAAAATTCCCCACCCCCGCAAAACTTTTCTAATGGTCTGTCCCTAAATGAGAGCGTTTGGCTCTAGAATAGGGTATCATTTTTCAGGACACTGATCAGTTGGTTGAGGATTCTATCTAGACTAGGGACTGTGGTATAAGGTTTTGTTTTGGCTAGACTGTGCTAGTGACCTCAGTAGTTTCTGGAAAACAGCTACTCTAGGATAGGGGGGATTTGGGGAGTTTATTCTAGTATAGGGTAGCAACATTCAGCTGAACTAGCTCTGGTACAGGTTAAGGGTTCCAGGGTCCCAGCAGCACATCCCCACCCAGAAATTCCCAGTTTCTGTTAAACCCCAAAATTTGCCTGAACATCCCAATAACTACATTAAAATTATCGATCCTACTGAGATTTTACTTTCATGATGTATTATAGCAGCTGGAAACTAATTTCAATACAGATTTTTGCTTCAACAGAGTTTACAGTATGTTTGAATTTCTAAGCTTTTGCATGGGACATGTTAAAAAGTGATTTATTTCAGGGAATTTTGTGCTACAGTGGAACCCGTTAATGGTTTTGGGGTTTTGACTCAGTGGTTTTACGTTTTTACGCTAAAAATAAAAATCGATATGGGCACAGCATGGCATCTCCATACAAACTGTTCATGTATTGGAAAAAGTTGGTTAATGTTCCTCGAAAAAATTTTTTGTAGATATAACTTTCTAATATACTCCTGGGCACAGCATGGCATCTCCACCTGGGTGAAAAATTTCTTTAGATATCTCTAATATATTCCTATGACCTGAATCTTGGCGAGGATCTTTGCATATTTACCTCCTTTCATTCCCAGATTCTGGACTTTCTCTATTGAAGGATTTTGATTTTGATCTATTTTGAATGGACTGACACTGAAAACCAGCAACAGGAATCTGTTAATCGTATCAAATTGTTGTAGATGTTACAAAGGACCACAACAAATAAGCATCAATCTGTTTCACTGCTTTTATTGGGAAAATTTTAAAGAGAGAGCTCTGTATCCAAAGTTTGTAAAGACATCAATATCAGCGGAGCTTCCACCAACTGCAAGAACCTGATTAGAGGAAAATGAATAAGGGTGTTACATCTGAGGGAGGAAATTACCAGTACTATCATGTTATAGTTAATCTTCTGAATTTCCATAAAGAGAAATGGGGATAAGTAAAGTAGCTACTTCTTGCTCCTTGGGGGTTGGAGTGAGGAAGATGACTAACTCTTCAGACTGGGCTGGGGAGAGGAACCTCACTGTAAAACCTGTGAAGACTTGCTGAGGCCCTGCCAGGGTAAATTCCGACAAGCGACATGGCCCAAAAAGTAGCGACAGCGCGTAAAATGAAATCGCAACAAGAGACAACCTCCCTTGGCCAAACTGCGACAGTGACGGCAAAGCCGACAATAAGCAACAAGCATTTACAAACAACCGTGCACGAGACGTTTTAAAATTCAGACTGGTGACATGGGACCCCCTCCTAAGAGGGCCTCCTTGCTCCTATGCTAGAGAAGGGATGTTTAGCAGCAGAGAATTTGCAACTTGACTAATGGTGGGGGTAAATACAAATGATTATTGTGAACAATGTCTCTGGTTAGATTAAAAAAAATTGTCCTGTCATGACTCAGTTGTCTACATGTACTTTCATAAAATTTTTGTGTGTTTGAGCAATCAACTTCATTCACAGGGTCTCTATTGTTGTTGTTCATGTAATAGGAGTTTTTAAGCTCCTATTACATGAACAGTACTTTATTATAACTCCTCCTACATGAAAAAGCACAAGAGAGACTTAACAAAGCTGCAATACATGTGTGTTTGATAGGGTAAAAAAACAACTCTGCATGTGTGTCACAAATTTTGTACATTAATTTCTTATCTGTCCTCTGCCAGCTATGACATGAAATTCTCCTAAATCTTAGTTCTTGAGGACCTACAGTCCAACCTCCTCTAATGCCCATCTCTCTACAATGGCCACTCTTTTTGGCAGATAATAGTACATTGATGCTTACTTAAACCTCTCTAGAACGGCCACTTTCCTCTGTCCCCAAGGTGGCCGTTGAGGAGAGGTTCAACTGAACACTGTACAATGCGTTGCAGAAAATAAAAAAGTTTTCTTCACCTTACTTTACTTGATTAAAAGGTCTGTGTTTGTCATAACCTGAGACCAGGCCCAATTCTAGCGGTTCTAATACATTCTCTATAATGGCTACCGCTTCGTTTTGCCTTGCCCGTTGGAATGTTATAACAAAGCGAAACGAAAATTGAGCCTGATCTCAGGTTATGTTTGTCATGTTAAACACGTTGGAATAATCACCATGGCACGTGAAAAACTGCGGGAAATTTATTTTCATAGACAAGTTCTTGCTGCTGTTGCCATTATCATTACTTAAGCTCTCTAGTGTTATATAGTATCAATACCTTGTTCTTAGGGGACTTGTCATTGACTTGTAAGGCAAAAACTGATTTGGGGGTACAGGGTACATGTGTTTTAGGGTCACCATTTATTTGCCAGTGGAAAACATGTGGCTCTGATCCAGCTGAGAGAATCTAGCAACAAAAACACTAGCCTGATTCTCAGACGTCTGAGGTAGTTCACCATCACTTCGCTTCCCGCCCTCTCGAGAGGGAGGGAAGTGAAGGGACCACGAACTACCACAGACGTCTGAGAATCAGGCTACAAAAACACTGCATTAAATATTTCTTAGATTAAATATTGTATACACATACAAATTATGAAGTGTCCAGTGAAAACAAAAATAATTACAAGAACAAACTATGTCGAGAAATAAATGGGGTTTTTCAATTTTACAGTCAAACCAGGAAAACCGTGAACACCAAAAATATTTCTGGAATGATATTATGTTGCAAGAAAAAAGCCTATCAGGTGTGACAAACTAAACTGAAAGCAAGAACATTTATTAGTTTGTGGTTTTGTGGCATGTCTTGATCTTTACTGTGATTGGGTGTAACACAATAAACATTGTGAAAATGAAATGATCAGCATATCACTTGTGTGGGACAAAGAAAAAATCTAAGTCCCCGACGGGATTCAAACCTTAGACCTCCCAAACACCGGGCGGGCACTCTATCCACCGGAGCTATGGAGAACTCATGGAGAACGAGGCCATATACTAGGTTCATATTTGACACTTGTGAGGCCTACTGCAAGGATCAGCAATGTCAATGTCGCATTGTGTGGTGACAAAAATGAAAGATGGTAAATTTTAAGCTCAGTGAAATAAATGTGAAAATGAAATGATCAGCATGTCACCAGCATGGGACAAAGAAAGAATCTAATCACATCCTGTCAGGGACTTAGATTTTTTCTTTGTCCCACTTTCGTGACATGCTGATCATTTCATTTTCACATTTATTTCACTGAGCTTAAAATTTACCATCTTTCATTTTTTCACAATAAACATTTCTGAAATATTTCAAGTGTTCATGGTTTTGCCAGTTTGACTGTAATACAGTGGAGCCTCTCCTTTGGAACACTACCTCTATTGAAGGGACACCTCTATTCAGGGGAAAGGGACACTTTTTCTGAGACCCGAGTTTAACCTCCATTCAGGGGACACCTTAGCACTCAAACAGTGTTTGACCACAAAGAGGGTTGATATCTTCAGGTGTGTGCCACAAATCACAAATGTGGAAGCTTACACAAACTGAACTATCTCACTTAAATTAATGAAATTGACTTGTTAGTGAATTCAACATTATAATGTCACAGAGATACCGGTAAGTTAATGATGATTTCTGTGTGTTTTCTTTGTTGGTTAATAATTTTATTAACAAACCCCAGCCCAACCTCTATTCAGGGGACACTTGCCTCAGTCCAGAGGGTGTCTCCTGAATAAAGGTTCCACTGCATATTACTTATGAATGATCAATAATTATGATAACTAATGTTGTCACCTTGGATGATTATAATAGAAACAGAGTGGGTTGCATTAGGGTGACTGGTCAGAATGCATAGGACCAAATTGCGCAGACAGCAATAGCTCAGTAAATGAACTATTACTTTCTGCATAATTTGGTCCATGCATAATTTGGTCCAGGATTTGATTGGGGTTGACCCTAACTACGTTAAAGGGGCAATATGGTAACTGTTACCATAATTATTATTGCCTCTTTATATAGTTATGGTCAACCCCAATCAGACCCTGGACTTCAAATCAATATAATTATATTATTTTATTAACTGCATTGAAGAGGCTGCATTTTTTTTCAAGCAGAGCATTCCATCTCTCCTTTCCTCTCCCTGTGTTCCAGCCTTGCTTTATGTTAACCAATCAAAACGTTTGTTTACTAAAATAAGAGAACCTAATATCACTATGTCACTTACAAGATCATTGTGAAAGAGTGCCGTTTGCTGACAAGATTCAGTTCTAAGAACAGCTGTACACGCCATGGACCTCAAATGCCACACAGATAGGGATGGACCACCGCCACAAACCTTGTTTTGACACAGAAGATATAAAATTACAATATTACAACAGGGTGCAAAGAAAGTCAGTTCTACTACGCAAGCTGTAGCTCGGTGTTGCTAAAACGAGGGTAAGGGCAAGGATAGGGGTGGGGGTGAGGGTTAGGGTTAGGGTAAGGGTAAGGACAAGGATGGGGGTGAGGGTAAGGCTAAGGCTAAAATTCCAGAAGGGTTTGTACTTACACCAAGTTGGGGGAGTCCTAGACTTGCTAAAAGTTGACCTCTCTTAAGTTCTTAAAAGCGAGCAAAACCTGCTTCAATGAGGTTGCACAGTGACCAAGCGAGCAATGAAGTTGGAAGGTCAACCTGTTTTACTTGAATGCCAATCTGTCCTCCCCTCACCATTACCCTCACCCTCACCCATACTCTTTAAGGAAATTGATGGAGATCTGTTCAGAGAATTATTGTTCTGTTTCAAGTGAATGGATTAGAGTTAAAAAAGATTGAGCTCTGGTTGACTGGCAAAGGTGACTGGAAAATCATGCACTTAGCAATTATTGTACACTGTACCATATAATTATGTGACGGTGACAATTCTATTTTTTAATAATACTCGTGAAGGCAATAACTCTTTTGCTCTACCAATGAGCATACATCATTTCTACAGACTGATATACATGTAGGTTTAAGAAGACTCAGTCACTTACCAACCAGTCTTGGCTCTCATCTACACTGACACACCCTATCCAGGAACCTAACTGGGGTCTGTGAATGTCCTGCAGTGATAACATTTTCAACAATACCTTCATCAAAATGTTAAAAAATGATGATCATGATGGGGTTTATGACTGAACTGCATTGTTTTTTCAAAAAAAATGCACTTTATTTGAGTTTCAATGTATTTAGCATGAAAGTATTAATTGGGGACACTATTTTTGTCTCCTACTAGAGGCGGGTATGCCATTTTTCGTGGTCATCCGAGTTACACGAAGGTCCAGCCACCTCCAGTGCAAAGGGAGTACCTTCATTTCTTAGTTATTTTAAGACCCTGAGTGATGGTCCTGCCCCGGGAATCAAACCCACGTCTCTCCTGTGTGGTCCACGGGCCGATTTATGGCCGTTTTATGGCTTTTTATGTAAACGGTTTTCTCTCTATAAAACCGTTTACATAAAAACCCATAAAACGGCCATAAATTGGCCCGTAGACCCCACAGGAGAGACGTAACACACATTTTAAGTAAGGTAAGCTGTTTTTTATTGAAACCGTTTCATTTTCATAGGTTACAGAAACGATAGGTTTTTTTCCCATACAAATCCTTATATTTTAAATGTTACGCAACAATGCCGATGCTCGTTGATGCTCATATTTCAAGCTTCGGCTGCCTGTGGTTTGTCCAGTCACTCCATTGTTTTCAGTTTTGCTTCAGTTTGTCAATAACTTGTTTGTATTAATACACTATAGAAATAACGTGGTTAAATTCACTTCTGTACCTCATTTTTGCATGGTTCTATTAAACCTGTCAGTGTTCCTTTGGTTCTGTAATCTGAAAACAGAAATAAAAGTATTCCCTTTACTTCTAAGTTTCAATCACTTCTCTACAAGAATGACACACAACTTAGTATATAGCATGACCCTTTCAATTAACAATTATTCATTATGTCAGCTTGCGTATGTCGAGATATTGAGCACGTGGGAAGTTTGGAGAGCACGAAAGAGGTGTAAGAGTTAAAACGAGGCACAGCCGAGTGCAACTCTAGCCTCTTGAGTTTTATAACATTGTCAAAGCGATCAATGCATCAATTAACTTAACATTTTATTATTGTAGGGCACGCTCAAAGCAGTACGCATCAATGTTTACGTGAGTATATTTTTTTTCCTCACAGTTAAGCTTATGTTTTTATCCTGAAACTGAGAGAAAGTGTACTCTAAAATGATTGTAAAATCCATATTTAGGTGCCGGAAAACTATTAATTCATCGAAAAATTGTTATTGAGAGAAAACAACTTTGCAAAGAATGATCTCACGCCACAGCCCGCACAGCTGGTGGAGATGACAACAACAACAACAACACTCACCTCTTTTCCTTACTATCGGTTAACAAATTCAAACGTTTCCTCTTAAATTTCCTCATAAAACACATGGTAAACGCTTTATCGTGTACTGCCGAGTTATGGATGCACTCACGAGACTCAGGATTGCTAAGCTCACAACAACTTGAGGAATTACGAATAATTTTTGACGTCATCAGCATGCTCAATAGGAATTTGAAGCACGCTCGCGCTATTGAATTTGATTAGGGGAATTTTCTAGCTATGTTTTAAAATGATTTTGTGGGACAAAATGATGTGGTCATACAATTTATTGCTATGTGTAATGTGGGGTTCCCTGTATGAATATTTTTTAGTTTTCATGTTCTTGTAAAAGATTATAAAAACAACAAGTCCAGATACTATAGGTTTCAACAGATGAGTAGATTGCAAATCTGCTCACCCCATAATCTCACAGTGCCGTCTTCAGCTCCACTAACACACTGGCTGTGTTTTGTCCTGAGGCAAAGACACTGAATATAATCCCTATGACCAGTGAGGGTATTCTAGAACAATGTACAAGAGAATTATTAATTAAAATAAAACCAATTCATAAAAAAATAATAATTATTATAACATTATATTGTACCTACAGTTTTGAAAACTGAACAAATCAACCTCTCTGTCAGAATTAAGGAAGTTAGAAGAGAAATGAAATTGAAGTTCAAGCTAGCTAAGCCAGTGACATTCTCAAGAGGTACATTAACATTTAGCAAATTATCAAACAGTAGACTAGCCTGTGTGCAGATGAAATTAAAATCCGGTTAAAGAGAGTTTAGTTATCGTCTGCACGCAGGCTAACAGCAGACAAACCAAACAAAAAGATGAAATTCCTATGAACGGTACATCCTGGCACAGCTTTAAGAATAACATGGGTTTTGAAATTGCTAAGAACTGGCTGAGGTACATATACTTGTACAACTGTAATACTGCCCCAAGTGGCTCTTGATGTAATCTCAAATTCTCATTTTGCTTTTTTCAAGTAAAACCAAGACAATAAAAATTAGGGAGCGGTTTATTGAATCCATTAAAGGGTTTTTTTTACCTAAACTGCTACAATTAACCAGGGAGCAATGTGAAAAAGGGTTGACATCAGGAGACAAGGATTGATTCAAGAGGCAGGAGAGTATGGTATGGGAAGCAGGATTGAGGTCTGACCCTTTGACAGCTTATTAAAAAGGATAATAGCTCTGCCCACTGGCTATTGGACACTTTACTCGCCATAAATATTAAATAATAAATATTTCAAAACAAAACTTGTATCACCTTACAGGTTCCTGAGTCCAGATCCCACATATAGATATTGTTATCTCCACAACCTGAGAATAGAGTATCCTCCTAGAAAAGTAAATCATATCACAGACACCAATAATTTTGGGTTAGAGACTGTTGTGAGTGTTTTGTTTCCAAATACACATGCACGCTTACCATTCCATAAATGAGAAATTTTCAATACTGCACAAAGTGGAGCCAAGTGAAATTGCGGCAGAAAAATTGATGGAGTGACATTTTTATAGTATAATAATATTTTACTGTAACACGAAAAATAAGAATGATATATTACACATATTATCTCTTCTAAGAATAAGCTCTCACTAAAGCAGGAAAGAATTAACATAATATGTTATACATACTTCCTAAAGATATATTAAATTAGATGCCTGAAAAGTGCAAAATAACAAATGGATATTCAAGCCAACAATAATAATATTATCATTATTATTATTATGAATTTTTGAGAAACAAAACATACCTGACTGGCAAACACCAGAGCATTGGTTTCAGCTACATTCAGAGAATTTCTTGATAAACAAATCAATATACAATAATATTAGCAAATATTTTTATATAAAGTTATTATGTAATAGCAACACAACTGAAATGACCAATTGACAGCATTATAATATGCCACACATACTAAGTTTTGCCAATTTTTAATGGCATACTTTTTCTCTTAGCCAATATACATGTATGTTTGATTTTTAAGTAAGGTTCTACTATAATGATAGTAGAACCAGAAATGCATTTACAGCAATTTGTCTTTATTATTAATAATTCTGACTCTGTGATCCATTTTATGGATTTTAAAAGTGTCAACTGAGTGAGGTAACATTATTAATAAATACATTGCTTTGGGTACAGGAATAACAGAAGATTAGATTCACGTCTTAATCCCCCATTGTTTCCTTCTTATCAAAATATTTAGCAGAAGTTTACACGAAATACTCTGGGCAAAAATAGTATCAATAAATTCATGGTATAAAGTGTTACGGGAATACCAGTTGACTATATATACAGTACTGTATTGTACCTGGCTGAAGGCTGAAGTGTCCACGCCGGTAATGGAGACTGATCAAACGAGAGAAAAACAGTATGTCAGTCTAAGACATGCTATCTGCATAGCATTTCTTGAATACAGGCAGGGCTGTGCTAGCAGAGGCACATGGCCCCTAGCCCCTTAGTAATAATAAAGATGACTATCACACAGGTTGACAAAGCGTCAGTTACTTTCAAAAACAGTCCTATTCAGGACTACGCTCACCCAACACCACGGCAAAATGCACTGCTCATGAGCGAAAAATAATATAACATCCAGTTACTTTCGTATTTCCAGTTACATATATAAACCATCTGAGAAAACATAAAACTCCTTTAAGGTAAGTAAATGGAACCAACCTCTGTTTTTTCAAGAATTTCATCCCACCGCCAGCCATGAATTTCAGATGAGCCACCACTACAAACACACAAAAAAAACATAACTCAGTCACTGCTAATACAATGATCATTGACAACAGCAATCTATGACTTAAAAGCTTGATAGTTAAATAAAAGCATACCTTATAAGAAACTTTTCAGTTGATATGAGACTGTAAATTGCACCATTATGGCCTGAAAAAAAACTTAATCTTTAGACAACCATGATGTGGTCAATGAACTGGTGCCCAATTACATCAGATCAATAACATTGACCAAAACCACAGTTGAAATCAATTAACTAGCACCTATCAGTCAACTGCCAGCAAACAGCGGACACACACCCATTACAATAACAGATAACAAGAACTTATCCAGAGTAAAAAATAGAGTTCAAAAAAGGTGTTTTTACGTATTTACCTTGAAAAATTATTATTGGTCTTTTCTTAGCAGAAGATGCATCTGGTTCTAGTGCAGACACAACACTAAGTACAAAAATAATATCCATATTTATAATTGTTACATATGAATTCAAAGCAAAATTAAACAATAAAGAAAACTAAGACATTACAAAGCGCAATGTATACTGTAAACAGTAAAACCTGCTGTTGTACATGTGTGGCAGGTATAAAACACAGGTCACACAGGTCATGTCAGGTCAATAAACCGTATATCAGTGGTTGTACTGCTCGACATGTCTAAAACTTTTGACAGCATCCAACATGACAACTTATTATCGAAACTGCACTAACTGGGTCTGTTGGACTTTGCTCTAGCCTGGTTTAAGAGTTACCTGTCATTATGCAAGCAAGTGGTTAGGATTGGCAGTGTCCTATCTGACCCCCTTCCACTGACAGTGAGTGTGGCCCAGGGGTCCATTCTCAGTCCAGTTTTTTTCACATTGTATGTCAACAACCTTCTCTCTGTACCGAAGAAGTGTGAAGCCATAGGCTATGTAGAAGACACCAAGCTGCTTTTGGCTCTTCCCCCTCCTGACATCAGAGTTGCCATAGAGTACTAAAGTGTGATGTCATAAAAATGATTTTTTTTTTGGGTCAACCCCCCCAAAAATTAGATGGTTTTGTATGGAGTTTGCTAAGCATAACTGGGCTACGATCTCAGAGACAATTTGCCCCGAAATGCTCATTTTTGGCAAGTAGGCCTCTTGGACATTGTTCTTTCAGAATATCCTGACAAATTCCATAATTTCAGAAATTTCATTTTTATGACATCAGCACTTTAGTACTCTATTTTTGACCTCAATAGTGATCTTCGCGAGATTGCAAATTGGTGTTCAACAAACTCTCTGTTGATCAACCCTAACAAAACTAAGCTCCTTGTTGTTGGCGTTCCACAACTAACAAGAAACTTATCTTTACCTCCTGTCATTCTATTGGGGACAAACATCAAGCCCTCTCCTGTTGTAAAAGACTTGGGGGTCTGGATCGACTCTATCGTAACTTTCGATGACCATGTATCTAAACTGTCCTCAAGCTGCCTGTATGATCTATGTCGCATCAACAGAATTAAGCATCTTTTGGACAACAAAACTCCTATTTCAATTATCAATGCTCTTATTTTTAGCAGGCTTTTTATTGTTCTAGCATATGGGGTAATACCTTCAGCAAAAGCATTTCTAAGATTCAACTTATTCAGAACTTTGCTTGCACAATAATCCTAAGTATCAAATAATCATTTGATCATGTCTCTGCTGCGCGAAAATCCCTTGGTTGGCTGAACGTCCGTCAAAAACTTCTACTAAATACTGTTACTATGGTTCAAAAGTGTAGGACAAATCAGGCACCACCTTACCTTTGCAATTTATTTCATAAAACAAGAGATTTAGTGTCCTTTCGTGGGGCAAAAGAATACAAACTACTCCCAGAAAACACTCGGAACATAAAAAATATCTCAACCACCTCTTACAAAAATAATGATTAACCACTTGACTCGTGGTCTCTCTCAGAATGTACGGCTAATGTACGAGAAATTTTTAGAACGTTTGACAACTCTGACTATATCAGCGGGGCTTGACACAGATCCGCAGCGTAAAGCACCATACCTGAAAACGGCGATCTGTCCAAAGTTATTGCACGCAGCCAAGTAGTTTCCGCATGGAGAAAATGCCAAGGCAAACACCGTTGTATGAAGCTCTAGTCGCCTTTTATGTATCTGATCCTACAATTCATTACATGTTAATATATTTTGTTGGTAACGGAGATTGCTAAAGCAAACTAAATAACATAAAAAGAAACTATAAAAATCGCTTACATACCTGGTAATCTGCCGCCATATTTTTCTGTTTAACGCTTACAAAATTTCCGCTGAACAACTGAACTGTCAACGCCAGTTCGCATTCCCGACCGAGTCCTCCTCTACTTATATAGTCGGCATGGAATCGTTGAAACCCTAAAAATCTAAAAAATACACTGCAATTGGACAAACCCCGAAAACAATGGATTAGTTTTATTTTATTTTACCACTTTGTGTAAACTATAGGTTATGGGGTGGTCTGTAACTGTGCTGTAGCAACTCAGCCTCGTCCCCAGGGCTTTTCCCTTAAAAGATGGGTGGGGCGGGAAAAGGCCTTTTCTCGCCCCACCCATTTTTTAAGGGAAAATCCATGGGGACGAGGTTGGTAGCAACTGAAAAAAGCGGGGCTAACCGATTCTCAACTAGCTACTGAACTGGGGGGGTACTTTAGGAATTTTTGGGTGGGGATGTGCCGCTGGGACCCTGGAACCCTTAACCTATACCAGAGCTAGTTCAGCTGAATTTTGCTACCCTATACTAGAGTAAACTTCCCAAATCCCCCCCTATCCTAGAGTAGCTGTTATCCAGAAACTACTGAGGTCACTAGCACAGTCTAGTCTAGACAAAATCTTCAACCAAGTGATCAGATTCCTGAAAATGATACCCTATTCTAGACCCTCTGATTTATATACCCTATCCTAGAGTAAACTGCTTGAAAACCATGCCCTTCACAGCGGCACATACCGATATAGCCCATATATGGCAGAACCCCCCCCCCGGGAACCCGGGGCCCCGGGGGCTACAGAGCAAAACGTGTATGCGCATACCCGGTGCACATAAAGAAATGTCTAGGATAAATAGAAAGGGTAAGAGAACGGAATTCAATATAGGGTGGCTGAAAAAAGAATTAATAAGCCGGCTGTGTTAATCCACCTTAACTTAATTATTTCCCCGAGAATTTGTTTTCAGTACAAAGTGGGGTGTTTATATGGCTTTATCCCCGATTTTACTGCAAGGGAAAAGCTGTAACTACCACCGGCCGGTAGAACAAGGGCTAATTATAAAAACCAGGACAGATGATGACCTCACTATACCGATAAACTAAAAAGGAGAAAAAACGATCAGTTTAATGTTCCATAGTTGTTCAAAATGGTGGATAACGCAATTGTATTGCCTAACACTTACCCGCTGGATAGCGATTTATCCGGTAGGTAATGTTATCCAACGTTTGAACAACCGGGGCCTGGGAGACAGGGTATGGTTGATTTAGAAAACTGGCGCGTAGCTGTAGAAAATTTTAGCTCGGCCCCTGAAAGGTCATTCTTGATTTGTATTGCTTGGGCTAATTAAAATTGCTGCGAAAGCTACTTATAATTCTATAAAAATTGACCAGAGGAAGAGAGTAGATTTCGAAGAGAAAAAGAAATTACTTCATTGTTAAGAAGTTAGCTAACGCTCATCAGGTACACCTTTCAGCACAGACAATTAAACACCCGCTCAAAAACTTTCCTTTTTTCGTTGATGCTGCGTGAAACATTTATAACAATTTGACCACTTGATCGGCTAAAAAATGTTTTAGCAGACGTTAAGTGGTCGTTAAAAGAGAGGTAATAACCCTCATTTTCTTTAGGTTGCTTGGGCTTCAAGACAGTGTATCAATCTTCAGAAAACTGGCATTGAGTATAAAGGAGCTATTGAGCGGAAAAAGGGAACCATTTGTTACCCCAAGATCTTCAAGTGAAAATGCGAGTCCAGATAATCTAACGACAGCTAAAAAAAAGGCATCATAATTATTAGTTCATAGCACCTTTTCCTTTTAACGGCCAATAGAGTCCATTGTCGTATATAATCCAACCCGTTTTGGGATCATAAATAATTTAGCGACCGTAATGAATGTGTGTAGATAAGTGCTCTTTAGAACTCTGTTCAGTTGTATAAACGAAAGCCGGTTATAGACAGATTCACTTGGCTCGGTCCACTTAAGAAATTAGGAGGGTAAGTCCGTCAGTGCATCGTGGCGGTGTGTTTGTTAAACTTATAAACTGTTGTTCCGACAGTTCAAAAAACAATTGTATCGGTGTATAATGAGAAAAGAACGGAAGCCCGAAAAGATTCTCAAGCCCCATTTATATTACCTTTTATCTTAACTATTTTATCTTTGTTATAACTAGGACTGGAAATGAAAGGTGCATTATTTTTAGCCTCTGGCCTTCTGGCTCTGGTTTTGATGTCCACTGAAATAGAAGGAAAAGGCACCAGGGATTACGAGGATGTCACGAAACACGAGTCTGGCTTTAAAAAACAGCAGTCTGATGGAGGTGACACAGTTGATACAGTTTCTGAAGTTGAATCCGAAGATCACGAACTTGTGGATGGTGGCTCGATCGACGGTAAATCCTATCTTTTATATTATATGGCAGTTAGCCACTTCTAAACCTTGTTTCCAGTGCCTTTCTTCTTTCCTTTTTTCTGGGCCGGGAAAGATGAAAGAATCACTTGTGAAGGCAAAGTATATCAAAGCGACAAACTAGTGAGGTCAGCCGGATCTTTAGTAGACCTGGATCAGTAAAATCTTCAATACCAAAATTTAAAATTACAACAGTAAACTCAATCCTTACGACAGGAAAAGTGATACATAAAAAAAAAACATACATACTTCATTGTGTAAGGTATCATAAGAAATAAACGACACAAATAATACCCTAAAAAGGAAGTTTAAGAGGTTAACCCTATGTAAATAAACTTCCAAAAATAAAAATTAAAAATATATGCTTATGAATAAAATCTAAGATGGATAAAAAACCTAAGAAATACGCATGTATGATTTAAGAGCTATTTTAAAATGTCTTAAATTTCCTATCTCAACAACATTGGCGGGCAGGTCATTCCATTCACGAATAATTTTAACAAAGAAAGAATATTTATAACAATTGCAGTTCGCCGATTTAACTTGCAGTTTGTAGTTGTGATTGGACCTGGTACGTTTTGAAGCGAACTAAGAAAAATCGCAAAAACAAAGGCTATTCAATCCGAATACAAGTTTATAGCATTCAATCAAAGAAAATATAGCCTTCTATCAGTCAACTGCGACTACTGTAACATTTCGCAGCGATCTTCGTATGACATTTCTCCCTTTCGCTGACCTAAGGCCAATCGAGAGGCTCTTCTCTGAACTTACTCTAAAAGAACAATATTCTTAACTAGGTAAGGGCACCATACAGGGGAAGCGTACTCGAGGATTGGTCTCACAAGAGCCTTGTACAATGTGGAAAAGATTTCCTTGTTTACAGTACCGATTGTTCGCTTGATTAGACCAAGAGCTTTCTTGGCCTTATTGACAACCTAGTCAACAACGTGTATTAAAAGTCCACGAGAGGTCATGCGAGATTGTGATGCCGAGGTCTTTTACAGAACTCACTGTGATAGAAAAATAAAGAAAGAAAACAAAACTAAAATGGTGAATTATATTTGCCCGATATTTTGGTTTGCAACACAAACCTTCAACGGGGGCTATGAAAGACACTGGGAACGAGGTCGGATACTTCTACGATTAAGCACAAGTTCGATATATCAAAGTCTAACATGTCTCCGAGGCTTTCTTGTCATTTTTCTATATTTGATTTGGTTTTCTTTGTGCTCAAGTCTCGTTTGGAATCTGGGAGATAATGAAGTCTTGAAAAATTTGCAAATTTGACCCTAAAGCCTCGGATTCATGTTAGAATTTTGATATATAGAACGTGGGCTATTTCGATCGCAAGCCCAGCCTTCGACAAAATGAACTCATTCACGGTCACTAACCTACACTTTCCCAATCAAATACTATATCACTTTCTGTTTAAAAAGTCAGTGGGCTCAAACTCCATGGTAAGAGGAATCGACGAAACACAGCAATACTGGAATGCTTGAAGATATTGTGTGGCTCTCCAAAGTGCGCATGAATTACAGTCTCTTTTAGGACCGGCACCTTGTGACCCTCTTGGAGAAATGTCCTTCTTATAAGAGTCAACTAAAAGGAGTAAAGAACGGCAGGGACCAACTTTAGGTGTCCATCTGATAAAGGTGTCCGTTAAGGGACATTGGACTGTGCATAATAATTTTGTTCTTGGATCCCCCGGTTCTAGACCAGGGACACCATTAAATTAGGCTGCACTGGTGAAACAGGATTTTGAGGAAGTTCTCCTTTTCTGCTATCAGACAACAGCATCAGACTATTATGTATTAATTTCTATATATATATATTTTTTACAGGTTCAAGCAGTGAAACCTCCAGATCACACTTTGCAGGAAGGGGAGGGCGATTCCCCTTCGAACACAAAGGCAAACCTTCAGTAAGCCACAACAAAAACAGAGGCAAACCAGCAAAATCATCACCAGAACCAAACAAACACCAGGGACCTGGTACAGGCCGATTCCCTATTACAATCTCCGGCAAACCAGCAAAATCATCACCAGAACCAAACAAACACCAGGGAGCGGGTACAGGCCGATTCCCTATTACAATCTCTGGCAAACCAGCAAAATCATCACCAGAACCAAACAAAAATCGGGGACCGGGAAGAGGCGGACGATTCCCAAATGGCAAGAGGTAGTGTCAAAAAGACGACATATCAGCTATCGCAGGTTAGATAAAGAACAAAAAAGAAAAACAGAGAAACATGTTCAAGAATTCACGCGAGCAATCTTGTCAATGATTAAGCTACTACACATGATCAGTTGATATGAAATAAAACTTAACAAGTTGAGGTCAGTTTGCTTTAAACTGTGAAGGTTCCCAAATAAAAGAAAAAGACACATTTCAAATGTCTCTGCTTCATGTAGCCTGAAAAAAAGCTGACATTTCGCGACGTCACCACTGCTTTCCCAGCGAAAAGAACGCAGAAGTTCCATACGGATGACGTGTCACTACACAGAGAACTGGGAGATTTCTGCGCTCGTTCCTCTGACGTCATTTCGCAGGGAAACCAGTGGTGGCGCCACTTATAAAATTTCGGCTGTTTTCTCAGGTAATTATCCTACGCTAAGAGCGACTGACAAGCCCTA